CAGGAATAATGCTGAGTTCGGGGTAAAACAACAAACAAAAACAGCGGTGTTTCATCGTTGATTAAGCACCGTTTCATGATCACGATATTTATAAAACAATGAAAACTTCTCCCCAACCACGAGTGAAGATAAAGGGTCAACACGACTTTGTGATAATAAAATGCCTTCCCGAGAGAAATAGGACATACCAGGGTGCACACACACCTGCCTGCTTCTTTCTCAGTTAGTGGGACATGCCAGGGTGCTTGAATCTATCTGCTTCTTTCTCAGTTAGTGGGACATGCCAGGGTGCTTGAATCTATCTGCGTCTTTCTCAGTTAATGGGACACGTGAAACTTCAGGTTGTAATATAAGCTGTAAATGACAAACATTGCATTAAATCGTATTCAATGTCACAGTAACCTTTGTTGTTCAGAATATATTATAACGTTTAGACATTTCTAGGTTCAGCAAATTAAAGTTACAAGCAGTGTAATTCATGTGCACCTTTTGTCAATTTCATATTTTATTGCATGTTTGCAATCAAAGTGTATGTAAATGAATGTATACTGCGTGTGTTCAATTCAATTGATTCAAACTACACTTGATGTAATTAATGTTTAAATAATGTACCTATTCAGCGAGGTAACTAATATACTCTACACGCACCCGCCGTGATATTGCTGGAATATTGCTAAAAGCGGCGTAAAACCTCACTCACTCACCCACTCACTCTACACGCAAAATCCGTGCGCCCGCATTACACTTGTCGTTTAACTCAGTTGTTTATTATTGCTAGATTATCAGTATTTTTAAGTTCCATTTATGTATAAATTGTACTCATTCAAAAACAAGCCGTTCGGCATATGTTTCGTTGTAATTTATGCTAGTTCAGATATGAAACATGTGGTCATATTATTCAACTAGCAGATTGAAATTTTATATTCACATATGTGTATTCTCAGAGCTACAGATAAGCTGCGTATTTGCGTAAAATACCCCCAAAAATATTCAAAACCCAATTAATTTCAATTACCTTGCGTACAGAAACGCATGCATTAAATGAAAAACTCAAATGTATAAAAACACCATGCGTAATATCCAATGAAGCTTTTTCAGCATGCGTACAATGGAGCTAATTTCGGAAACACAATGATTACGAGTTTATTTACTTAGTGAGTCAAGCCTTTAGTTAGAACCCATATATACATCTAAAACATAATTTTATTTTATTTTAAATCTAAAAATGTAGGATCATTTTGGGAAAAAAACAAAAGAGTGATGAATAGATGAGTGAAAATATTGGTTACAATATGAAAAATGTAATAACCCAATTAAAATAGAAACCTTCGAGTAAAAACTCAATTGCTCAAAAAGTTATCTGGAGCTCTGAATTCTTATTATTCGGTTTAAGTTGTATTCTGTAAGGTTGTATTAAAGTAAAGCCTATTATTACGTTCTTCATAAATATCAAACATCATGTAAGCTTATTTTAGTAATTGGTAACACATGTAGTGCATGGCTGGCTGGATGGATGGATGGATGGATAGACGGACGGACGGACGGACGGCTGGATGGCTGGATGGATGTATGGACGGACGGACGGCTGGATGGATGGATGGATGGATGGACGGACGGACGGATGGATGGATGGATGGACGGACGGACGGACGGATGGATGGATGGATGGATGGATGGATGGATGGATGGATGGATGGATGGACGGACGTTTGACGGACGGACGAATGGATGGATAGATGGATGTACTACTCAAAAGAACGTTAAGAACACCCTATTCTTTCAGGTGACTTTAGTTAATCTGTCATGGCTGGTGGATATTACAACACACAACCTTCCTATTGCGAGTGTTCTTTAATTGTTTTGAGTAGTATATGTAACTCAGCTCCGCCCATAAACTCACTTATATGAGTGAGCGGGTGAGGTTGATTTTAAGGCGACTTCAGCAATATTTCAGCCACATTACGAGGGGAGGGGACTTGAAGAATGAGCCATCTTCCCGAGGCAAGGGAGTTACCTGACTATAAAAGTCTGGTTTCCACCCTTGCCGAACTAGGTATGAATTATGGAGTAATATATTGGCGAGTCCAATAGTCCAATCAAAATCGCGTAACGAACTAGACATCCAGTTCGTAAACTGCCTTGCTAATTTCGGTCGATTCATGATTTGCAAAGCATGTGTCCCGCCCAATCGGCGTCAACAGATATTTCTAAATCTTGTCATGGGCTCACGTGATATGATGCACTTCGCAAATTAAGACTCGTTTTATCACAATATAGATCTTGATTATCGATCAGATCGTTTTGCCATTTTGTTTGAAGCAAATGCAAGTGACTTGAAAAGTGGAATCTGATTGGTTAATAGCAGGGACGTAGAAGGGACATAACTCGTAATAACCATTGGTGGCGCTACGACCGAGGCCCAAAAATTCCAGACTAGTTCGGCAAGGGTGGAAACTGGACTTTTAGATATCGCAATTTGACTAAATCACCTTTCTTGCGTTATTTCGTGTATGTTTTGAAATTTTAATATTGGATATTTACTCTGAGAACGTAATAGCAAAAATGACATAATCGCGATCACGGGTATCTGTGAATTAAAAATCACAAATGATCCTTCTGAAACATCGCCAATAACCCTAAAATCTTAAGCATGTTTCACAAAATATGCAAATACAAATACCGAGAGCAACTTTCCACTATATTGGATAATGTTCTCATCACATACAATTCAAACTCAAATGACAAATTCCACCGGGACGCTGAGGAATGCTTGATTCTGATTGGTCAAAATATAAATATAATCGAGTATCTAATGGATACCCGGATAATAACCACGTGATCAATGCTCAAAGATAATGTTTATCGCTAGCAAAATGGTTATCTTTTGAAAAGCGCACTCTGCAATCTTTGTCTTTGCTATAAGTAATATTTCTTATCGCCGGAATACTTGTTTTCAAGTATTGACACACATGCAGCTATAATCGTTAATTATTAATCGCACTATTTCATGATTTTATTTCAAGTGGTAAGGACTTGTTCTTAGCATATCGGAGTTCTTGTCACCTCTCTGTCGAGTTTTAAAGTAATAGAGGAAAGTTGATATTATTCAGTTCGTGGCAAGCTAGTTTTGGTATTGACTGTGTAACGCTACACGCATGTACACAGGTGGCGGTGGAAAACATTAATCCGCCATCGTGTCAGGGTGACCCGTAACACAGTGAAGTTCTTTGTTTACTGAGTTCATATAATGCACGATCTCGTATGTATCTCGACAAAAATAGACCTCTAGATGTTTGACATTAAAAGATCGTTTACAAAGACATGGGCGAAACATTAATCCGCCATCGTGTCAGGGTGACCCTTAACACAGTGAAGTTCTTTTGTTTACTGAGGTCATATAATGCACGATCTCGTATGTATCTCGACAAAAATAGACCTCTAGATGTTTGACATTAAAAGATCGTTTACAAAGACAAGGGCGTGTAAGATAATTATTAAAGCCGGAACAGAACATGTTTTTGTAAATGTTGTAGCGTATGCACGTCCTTTGCCTCACAGTAAGATACTTCGGATAATTTTGCTTCAATTTGATATGGAGTTGTTCAGCGGCACGTTGGGCGCCAATGTAGTGATGGGATTCGAACCACGTACTATCTGATCCGCTGTCGGATGCCTTACCCACATAACCAAGGCGAGTCCAGGGCGCTGATTGTGATGTACGTGAATAGCTGTTGATCATCTGCAGCAATTGTGATCAGCTAAACCATTAAGGTGTATGACCCTTGTTTGCCACACCTGCACCTGCGCATGCACCTGCACCAGTGGCACACATGCAACAGTGGACTTGATTCATGACACATCACGTTTTTGTTTCAAAATGAAAATTGGGTACACATGTCCTAGTGGTTTAAAGCATCGCCATGCAGAGTTGTCTCCCCTAGCTGCCAGGATCCGCTGGTCGTGGGATTATTAACGTTGGTTTGCAAACACCATACATGTGCTCAACAACGTGATAAACGTGTAGGGTCTGCATCCTCCCACAATAAGCTAACACGCCGTGATACAACTGAAATACGCCCAAATCAGCTTCAACTCAACTGGGGGGGCACGGGTGGCCCAGTCGTCTAAGGCGCCGCGATTCGCTGTGCAGAGTTGCGTCCCTTGGGCACGCCAGAAACCTATGATTGTGGGTTCGAATCCCGGTTCGCCCAAATTATGTTTCTTGGTTTGTCAGCACCATACCCGTGCTCGTGGGTTTCACCGAAGTGATAAACGTCTGGGACCTGCATCACTTCGGGCTTTCCTCCCACATTAAGCTGACACGCCGTGATATAACTGGAATACTGTTAAAAGCGGCGTTAAACCCAACTCACTCACTCACTCACTCAACTCAACTGGCTTTAAATTATATAGGCGTGCTGTAATTTTACTTGCCCCACGTTCAATACCAGCATGTAACAGACTGTTCAAATGTCAACGAAAACTACCTACCCTTTCTTATAAGATTTATTTACGATAACTCAGTTGCCTCGGGGAACCCCAGAGGGGCCCAGATTAGGATAGATCGCACCCGATTCTTGTCGTAAGAGGCGACTGAATTGGATCGTAAGGACCGGCTCTGTGACTTGAATATGTATCATCTAGCCCGATGGCCTTGATAGTTGCTGATGTTTTCAGTCACTAGATTGCCTGATCCAGACTCGTTTTTTACAGGCCGCACTGATACCAGTGGAATATTGGCTACTGTGGCGTTAAACAAGATTCCATGCGCTCATACTTTCTCGTATAGTTAAAATGTTGAGTGTAATATATTTCTCATTTTTGCATTCATCTAGTTCAACGTTTCCTAAAGCAGATTGGTCAGTTGAATAAAAGTGACCTCGCATTAGGGCGTGTCGTATGTTTGCACTATGCAATGTGTTGCATGCGACAAGTTGTATACGACAAATCGTACCATGTGAATTGCCTTCTAGTTGTTTCAAGGACATGACAGATACCGCAAGGCAAAGTTCACGTCCCCGCCGAGCCGACATATAAGAGACCCCGATCCACGAGACATCAGTTTCACAAATTGAAACAACATGGCGAAGACTTGTAATAATTTGTCCGCCGTTTTACAAGGCCTCAATGACCTGCGCATGGTGAGTGTTCTGTTCTGTTGGTATGAAAATCGCCGCATACATCACAGTCATCTGCTACAGACATTCATCTGTCTATATCAAACTGAATTGCTTGTAACGCCATTAGATTTCTTGGTAATGCATATGTAGTGTACATACAACTGCGTCTTATGTCATTATGTAGTGAGTGAAGAAACGTGTCATTGTGTTTTCCTCACAGGAAGATGTTCCTATCCCGGAGCCGGAATATGGAGGTGAGATCTGCACGCACGCACGCACGCACGCACGCACGCGAGCGCACACACGCACACAGACACACACGCGCAGACGAACAGACACAGAAACACGCACGCACAAACACACACACACATGCGCGTCGCTATAAAAGTGCATTAATCTTGATTGCGACGATAAAACACCATTTCACTTTACCTTTGTATTCGAGTTGTGTCTGAACGGTGCACTTTGTATTCGGGTTATAGAGGTATCGGGTTATGGAGGTAAGACCTACTTTGGATTCGGGTTATGGAGATAAGATCTACTTTGTATTCGGGTTATGGAGATAAGATCTACTTTGTATTCGGGTTATAGAGGTGTTCGGGTTATGGAGGTAAGACCTACTTTGTATTCGGGTTATGGAGATAAGATCTACTTTGTATTCGGGTTATAGAGGTAAGATCTACTTTGTATTCGGGATATGGAGATAAGATCTACTTTGTATTCGGGTTATGGAATTAGGATCTACTTTGTATTCGGGTTATGGAGGTAAGATCTTCTTCGTATTCGGACTTTGAAAATAAGATCTACTTCGTATTCGGGATATGGAGATAAGATCTACTTTGTATTCGGGTTATAGAGATAAGATCTACTTTGTATTCGGGTTATGGAGATAGGATCTACTTTGTATTCAGGTTATGGAGGTAAGATCTACTTCGTATTCGGGATATGGAGATAAGATCTACTTTGTTTTCGGGCTGTGGAGGTAAGATTTTCTTCGTAATCGGGATATGGAGATAAGATCTACTTTGTTTTCGGGTTATGGAGGTAAGATTTTCTTCGTATTCGGGTTATGGAGGTAAGATCTTCTTCGTATTCGGGCTATGGAGATAAGATTTACTTCGTATTCGGGATATGGAGATACGATCTTCTTTGTTTTCGGGTTTGGAGGTAAGATCTTCTTCGTATTTGGGCTATGGAGATAAGATCTACTTTGTTTTCGGGTTATGGAGGTAAGATCTTCTTCGTATTCGGGTTATGGAGATAAGATCTACTTTGTTTTCGGGTTATGGAGGTAAGATCTTCTTCGTATTTGGGCTATGGAGATAAGATCTACTTTGTTTTCGGGTTATGGAGGTAAGATCTTCTTCGTATTCGGGTTATGGAGATAAGATCTACTTGGTATTCGGATTATGGAGGTAAGATCTACTTTGTATTCGGGTTTTAGAGATAAGATCAGTTTTGTATTCGGGTTATAGAAATAAGATCGACTTTGTATTCGAGTGATTAAGATAAGGACGGCGTGTATTCGGGTTATGGAAGGTAGCTCTGCTTTGTATCGGGTTTAGAGATAAGATGTACTTTGTATTCGGTTTATCGAGGTAAAGTCTTCTTTGTATTGTAACTATTTACAACAAATAAGTACCTACAGCAGAGCAACAGGGAAAGGAATGAGTGGACTCACGAGATACATAGCACTGCGGTCAAACGAGCTTTGTTTTTCAATCTGCATTAGAGTGAGTGAGTGGGTTGGGTTTAACGCCGCTTTTAACATTATTCCAGTTATATCATGCGTGTCAGCTTAATGTGGGAGGAAAGCCTGAAGTGTGCAGGTCTCAGACGTTTACCACTTCGGTGAAACCCACGAGCACGGGTATGGTGCTGACAAACCAAGAAACATAATCGGGGCGAACCAGGATTCGAACCCACAATCTTTCTGTCAGCCTAACTGACGCAACTCTACACAGCGAATTGTGGCGCCTTAGACGACATGGCCACCCGTGCCCCAAAAAGACAGTGGAGCAGCCTGTAAATAGGAATATGAGAGCACGCACATGTCGGCAAAGGAATATTTTGCACAAGTATTTTCCGAATTGCACAATGCATATAGTAAACTACGGTTATAACGAACTCAAAGGGGCCACTTATTTTAATTCGTTGTAACCGTAGTTCGCTATAAGCAAATGTACGGAATATATACAGCAAATAGACAGGACCAAAAAAATAGTTCGTTATATCCGTCAGTTCGTTATAAGCGTGTTCGTTATAAACGTACTTTGCTGTATGTCAATGGTCACAAGTCCTGAACTCATGCTGAACAAAACATCAAACACACATTTTAACACACTGTACATTAAAACATCTTTCGAACTTTACCGTTACGTTTATGCCGAATATTCCATATAACTAATTTCTTTGGCTTTGAGTGTATCATAAACATGTCAGTGAATGTGTGCATTTTGTGTCACAGTCAGCAATTATTAGTTATATCAGGAAGTCATCGGTTCTTGAGGGGCGGTGGGGTAGCCCCTTCGTCTCGCCGGGTTCGATTCCTCACATGGGTATGCCGTGTGAAGCCCATTTCTGTTGTCCCCCGCCGTGATATTGCTGGAATATTGCTTAAAACGGCGTAGAGGAATACTTAATCACTCACTTACTCGCTCACAGAGGTCCAATTGAAGCTGCTTAGCTGTGGAATCTGCGGCACCGATGTCCATCTGTGGAAGCATGGCGGTATTGGGGGGCTGCCAGTCACAGAGGCGGTCATCCTTGGCCACGAGGCCAGCTCCGTGGTCACCAAGGTGGGAAAAGGCGTCACTAGTCTCAAAGTGGGTAAGTAGCGTTAAGACAAAGCGGGGACTGTATCTCTGAATGCCTGTCTGAATTAAAGTTAAAAGTATACATTATTATGTTCATCGTTATACATCACTCGGTGGAATGGTATATACTGAGAGGCATTAAAAACGCACGCTGTACTTTTTGTCACTAAGTACGTTTTACAGCTTTTGATTTTGCCCAAAGTATAGTAGGTTGAAAACACATTGTTAGCAACTGCATATAGTTCCGATGGTTAGGTTCGAATCTCACGTTTTCAAAATATCGGGACGAGGTATCTCGAATGCAACGAGGAAAATCTGTGCTGACAATATGTGATAGTTTAATTCAATTTGCCTTTAATACAGTGCCTATCCTAAGATGCGCCTAACGGGATCGGGTGGTCAGGCTCGCTGACTTGGTTGATGCATGTCATCGTATTCCAATCGCGTAGATCGATGCTCATGATGTCAATCACTGGATTGATGTCTGGTCCACATTCGATTATTTACAGACCGCCGTCATATAGCTTGAATATTGCTGAGTGCGGCGTTAAACAACAAACAAACCACGTTTCTTGGCTTGATTGTACATTCGTTTGTCGTTCGTGATTATTCAATGTCCACATTTAAAGAAACCATCGAATGTTCATTCCAAACGCTGCTTAATGAAAAAAACGAGGCCAATATCATTTTAAAAAAAGATTTTTGGCGTCGCCGAGTTTTTCAACCTAAAAGCATTTTTTCGCGAGATACATGCAATCACGTTTTTTTTAAGTGATAATTATAACACCGGTGTTGTGTGCACGATTTTTAGATATTGTGACGTATTTCGGTAATTACCTTCAGCTCTTCCAGCCTTTGGCAATTGTACGATGACCTTCTTTACATAGAACCATACCATTCCCCGGGGAGAAAGAGCAAATGCACCGTATGCAAAGAGAAATTTATTGTGACCCATTTCGGTCACGTGTTACTTTAGGTCTTCCAGCCTTTTGGGTGTCGCTCGATGGCTTTGTTTAAATCGATGCGTGCCTTAGTTTTCCCCGGTTTCCCTGCCTGGGTCTGGAGGAGAAACACTCACAGATAACAGCGTGCTGAATCAGGTATATGAGACAAGGGCAGGCGTTATCTGTCAAGACGAGCTACATCCAGGCTCTTTGTCATTATCTACCTCACAGTTCAAGGTTTCTCGATTGATAAACTTGAAGGTCATTCAAAACTGTTGATAGTAATAAGCCCGTCGGTGGTTGAAGCGTGAACTCGTCACATCGATGGCCCGTGTTGGGCTTCTCTGAAGGGCACAATGTTTGTTTGTTTGTTTGTTGGTTGGTTTGTTTGTTGGTTTGTTTGTTTGTTTGTCTGTTTGTTTGACGCCGCATCAGCAATATTCCAGCTATATGACGGCGGTCTGTAAACAATCGAGTTTGGACAGACAATCCAGTGATTGATATCATGAGCATCGACCCCCGCAATTGGGATACGATGACATGCATCAACCAAGTCAGCAAGCCTGACAACCTGATCCTGACCATGCACTCTCTTACGACAAGCATGGGTTGCTGAAGAACTATTCTAACCCGGATGTTCACGGGTATAAAGGGCACAAAATGTGAATCGAATTTCTGGTGCACACACAAAGAGTGCTGAGGTCTACACTTACACATACCTTCATATAGAACGTACATGGATACCTATGTACGCTGCAAATATTGTAATCATATCAAATCTCCGTATTTATATTATTTCCCATCTTAAAGACATTTTACATGAACTGCTCCTGATGACTCCTATAATAATTGGTTATCCGTTTGTAGCGGCAACAAACGGGATTGGGTGAATTGATTGATGCATGTCATCGAATCCTAATTGCGTAGACCGATAGACATGATGTCAATCACTGGATTGTCTGGTCCAGACGCGATGATTTACATATAGCTGGAATATTGCTGCGTGTGGCGTTAAACAAACAAACAAACAAAGCAACTAAAGATCAGTAGGCCTTCCCCTATTTTCGCGAAGCTTTCTCGCCACTATTGCGGCACTTACGCGGAATTATCGCGTCATTTTCGAATCACTTTCGCGATACTTTCACGGCACTATCACGGACGTATTGCGAAATAGTTTCGCGAAACAGGGGAAGTGACTTTTGAAATGTAGTGTACGTTTATTGATTCTGTTGATGACATAATACCCATAAGGCATGTGTATGTTGTCAAGGTGACCGCGTGGCGACGGAGCCTGGTGTCCCGTGTCTCCAGTGCAAGAAGTGTAAGGCCGGCCGCTACAACCTGTGCCAAGACATGCAGGTGATCATCCCCAAGTACTGCGGTAGTCTCACTCGATACGCCATACACGGAGCCGACTTCTGCTTCAAGTGAGTTCTGTATGTTGTCATGTTGTCATGCATGTGTCTGTCGGGCCGCCTCCGTGGTGTAGTGGATAGAGCGGCTGTCCGGAGACTGCCTCCCTGGTGTAGTGGATAGAGCAGCTGTCCGGAGACTGCGTCCGTGGTGTAGTCGATAGAGCGGCTGTCCGGAGACTGCCTCCGTGGTGTAGTGCATAGAGCGTCTGTCCGGAGACTGCATCGGTGGTGTAGTGGATAGAGCGTCCGCCCGGAGACTGATTCCATGGTGTAGTGGATAGAGCGTCTGCTCGGAGACTGCCTCCGTGGTGTAGTGGATAGAGCAGCTGTCCGGAGACTGCTTCCATGGTGTAGTGGATAGAGCGCCTGCCCGGAGACTGCCTCCGTGGTGTAGTGGATAGAGCAGCTGTCCGGAGACTGTTTCCATGGTGTAGTGGATAGAGCGCCTGCCCGGAGACTGTTTCCATGGTGTAGTGGATAGAGCGTCTGTCCGGAGACTGCCTCCGTGGTGTTGTGGATAGAGCGTCCGCCCGGAGACTGTTTCCATGGTGTAGTGGATAGAGCGTCTGTCCGGAGACTGCCTCCGTGGTGTAGTGGATAGAGCGTCTGTCCAGAGACTGCATTGGTGGTGTAGTGGATAGAGCGTCCGCCCGGAGACTGCTTTCATGGTGTAGTGGATAGAGCGTCTGTCCGGAGACTGCCTCCGTGGTGTAGTGGATAGAGCAGCTGTCCGGAGACTGCCTCCGTGTCGTAGTGGATAGAGCGTCTCTCCGGAGACCGACTCCGTGGTGTAGTGGATAGAGCGTCTGTCCGGAGACTGCCTCCGTGGTGTAGTGGATAGAGCGTCTGTCCGGAGAATGCCTCCGTGGTGTAGTGGACGGAGTGTCTGCCCGGAGACTGCCACCCTGGTGTAGTGGATAGAGCGTCTGTCCGGAGACTGCCTCCCTGCGGAGTGCATAGAGCGTCCGCCCGGAGACTGCCTCCCTGGTGTAGTGGATAGAGCTTCCGCCCGGAGACTGCTTCCATGGTGTAATGGATAGAGCGTCTGTCCGGAGACTGCCTCGGTGGTGTAGTGGATACAGCGGCTGTCCGGAGACTGCATCGGTGGTGTAGTGGATAGAGCGTCCGCCCGGAGACTGCCTCCATGGTGTAATGGATAGAGCGGCTGTCCGGAGACTGCCTCCGTGGTGTAGTGGATAGAGCGTCTCTCCGGAGACCGCCTCAGTGGTGTAGTGGATAGAGCGTCTGTCCGGAGACTGCCTCCATGGTGTAGTTGATAGAGTGTCTGTCCGGAGACCGCCACCGTGGTGTAGTGGATAGAGCGTCTGTCCGGAGACTGCCTCGGTAGTGTAGTGGATAGAGCGTCTGCCCGGAGACTGCCTCCGTGGTGTAGTGCATAGAGCGTCCGCCCGGAGACTGCCTCCCTGGTGTAGTTGATGGAGTGTCTGCCCGGAGACTGCCTCCCTGGTGTATTGGATGGAGTGTCTGCTCGGAGACTGCCTCCCTGGTGTAGTGGATAGAGCGTCCGCCCGGAGACTGCTTCCATGGTGTAATGGATAGAGCGTCTGTCCGGAGACTGCCTCGGTGGTGTAGTGGATAGAGCGGCTGTCCGGAGACTGCATCGGTGGTGTAGTGGATAGAGCGTCCGCCCGGAGACTGCCTCCATGGTGTAATGGATAGAGCGGCTGTCCGGAGACTGCCTCCGTGGTGTAGTGGATAGAGCGTCTGTCCGGAGACTGCCTCCGTGGTGTAGTGGATAGAGCGTCTCTCCGGAGACCGCCTCCGTGGTGTAGTGGATAGAGCGTCTCTCCGGAGACCGCCTCCGTGGTGTAGTTGATAGAGCGTCTGTCCGGAGACCGCCACCGTGGTGTAGTGGATAGAGCGTCTGTCCGGAGACTGCCTCGGTAGTGTAGTGGATAGAGCGTCTGCCCGGAGACTGCCTCCGTGGTGTAGTGCATAGAGCGTCCGCCCGGAGACTGCCTCCCTGGTGGAGTGGATGGAGTGTCTGCCCGGAGACTGCCTCCCTGGTGTAGTGGATGGAGTGTCTGTCCGGAGACTGGCTCCATGGTGTATTGGATGGAGTGTCTGTCCGGAGACTGGCTCCATGGTGTAGTGGATAGAGCGTCTGTCCGGAGACTGCATCGGTAGTGTAGTGGATAGAGCGTCTGCCCGGAGACTGCCTCCGTGGTGTAGTGGATAGAGCGTCTGTCTGGAGACTGCCTCCCTGGTGTATAGGATGGAGTGTCTGTCCGGAGACTGGCTCCATGGTGTAGTGGACAGAGCGTCTGTCCGGAGACTGCCTCGGTAGTGTAGTGGATAGAGCGTCTGCCCGGAGACTGCCTCCCTGGTGTAGTGGATAGAGCGTCTGTCTGGAGACTGCCTCCGTGGTGTAGTGCATAGAGCGTCTGTCCAGAGACTGCCTCCGTGGTGTAGTGGATAGAGCGTCTGCCCGGAGACTGCCTCCGTGGTGTAGTGGATAGAGCGTCTGTCTGGAGACTGCCTCCGTGGTGTAGTGCATAGAGCGTCTGTCCAGAGACTGCCTCCGTGGTGTAGTGGATAGAGCGTCTGTCCGGAGACTGCCTCCGTGGTGTAGTGGATAGAGCGTCTGTCCGGAGACTGCCTCCGTGGTGTAGTGGATAGAGTGGCTGCCCGGAGACTGCCTCCGTGGTGTAGTGCATAGAGCGTCTGTCCGGAGACTGCCTCCGTGGTGTAGTGGATAGAGCGGCTTTCCGGATACTGCCTCGGAGGTGTAGTTGATGAAGCGTCCGCCCGGAGACTGCCTCCGTGGTGTAGTGCATAGAGCGTCCGCCCGGAGACTGCCTCCCCGGTGTAGTGCATAGAGCTTCCGCCCGGAGACCGGAAGGTCATCGAGTCTGACCAACCGATCCGTTAAGTCGCCTCTAAACACATGCATAGATTGTGAAGGACTTATTCCCGCGCCTCTCACGACATGCATAGATTTTTAGGAAACACAATACCCATGACAGTGGCTTTCATCAAGATGGCACGCCGTGATATAACTGAAATACTGTTCAAATCGATTCTCCACATGGGTACAATGTGTGAAGCCCATTTCTGGTGTGGGGGGGGGGGGGGGGGGGGTTTAATAGACGAAATACGGTATTTGTTACTGTTAACATCGGTCTCTCTCTACACAGACTGCCCGACAACATCAGTGATGAGGAAGGAGCGGTCATTGAACCCCTGGCTGTGACCGTGTATGCTTGTAACAGAGCGGGGATTCAGATGGGAGACACGGTGCTGATATGTGGGTCAGGTATGTAGACAGAGATTACAGAGGGGATTCAGAAGGGGACACGGTGCTGATGTGTGGGTCAGGTATGTAGACAGCGGTGACAGAGAGGATTCAGATGGGGACACGGTGCTGATGTGTGGTCAGGTATGTAGACAGCGGTTACAGAGGGGATTCAGGTGGGGACACGGTGCTGATGTGTGGGTCAGGTATGTAGACAGCTGTAACAGAAGGGATTCAGGTAGGGACACGGTGCTGATATGTGGGTCGGGTATGTAGACAGCTGTAACAGAGAGGATTCAGGTGGGGACACGGTGCTGATATGTGGTCAGGTATGTAGACAGCTGTAACAGAGGGGATTCAGGTGGGGACACGGTGCTGATGTGTGGTCAGGTATGTAGACAGCTGTAACAGAGGGGATTCAGGTGGGGACACGGTGCTGATGTGTGGGTCGGGTATGTAGACAGCGATTACAGAGGGGATTAAGGTGGGGACACGGTGCTTATATGTGGGTCAGGTATGTAGACAGCGATTACAGAGGGGATTCAGGTGGGGACACGGTGCTGATGTGTGGGTCAGGTATGTAGACAGCGATTACAGAGGGGATTCAGGTGGGGACACGGTCCTGATGTGTGGGTCAGGTATGTAGACAGAGATAACAGAGAAGGTTCAGGTGGGGACACGGTGCTGATGTGTGGGTCAGGTATGTAGACAGCGATTACAGGGGGGATTCAGGTTGGGACACGGTGCTGATGTGTGGTCAGTTATGTAGACAGCGGTAACAGAGGGGATTCAGGTGGGGACTCGGTGCTGATGTGTTGGTCAGGTATGTAGACAGTGGTTACAGAGGGGATTCAGGTGGGGACACGGTGCTGATATGTGGTCAGTTATGTAGACAGCTGTAACAGAGGGGATTCAGGTGGGGACACGGTGCTGATGTGTGGGTCAGGTATGTAGACAGCGGTAACAGAGGGGATTCAGGTGGGGACACGGTGCTGATATGTGGGTCGGGTATGTAGACAGCTGTAACAGAGAGGATTCAGGTGGGGACACGGTGCTGATGTGTGGGTCAGGTATGTAGACAGCGGTTACAGAGGGGATTCAGGTGGGGACACGGTGCTGATGTGTGGTCAGGTATGTAGACAGCTGTAACAGAGGGGATTCAGGTGGGGACACGGTGCTGATGTGTGGTCAGGTATGTAGACAGCGGTTACAGAGAGGGTTCAGGTGGGGACACGGTGCTGATGTGTGGGTCGGGTATGTAGACAGCGATTACAGAGGGGATTCAGGTGGGGACACGGTGCTGATATGTGGGTCAGGTATGTAGACAGCAATTACAGAGGGGATTCAGGTGGGGACACGGTGCTGATGTCAGGGTCAGGTATGTAGACAGCGATTACAGGGGGGATTCAGGTGGGGACACGGTCCTGATGTGTGGGTCAGGTATGTAGACAGAGATAACAGAGAAGGTTCAGGTGGGGACACGGTGCTGATGTGTGGGTCAGGTATGTAGACAGCGATTACAGGGGGGATTCAGGTTGGGACACGGTGCTGATGTGTGGTCAGTTATGTAGACAGCGGTAACAGAGGGGATTCAGGTGGGGACTCGGTGCTGATGTGTGGTCAGGTATGTAGACAGCGGTTACAGAGGGGATTCAGATGGGGACGCGGTGCTGATGTATGGTCAGGTATGTAGACAGCGATTACAGGGGGGATTCAGATTGGGGACACGGTGCTGATGTCTGGTCAGGTATGTAGACAGCGAGTACAGAGAGGATTCAGGTGGGGACACGGTGCTGATGTGTGGGTCAGGTATGTAGACAGCGGTAACAGGGGGGATTCAGGTGGGGACACGGTGCTGATGTGTGGTCAGGTATGTAGACAGCGAGTACAGAGAGGATTCAGGTGGGGACACGGTGCTGATGTGTGGGTCAGGTATGTAGACAGCGGTAACAGAGGGGATTCAGGTGGGGACACGGTGCTGATGTGTGGGTCAGGTATGTAGACAGCGAGTACAGAGGGGATTCAGGTGGGGACACGGTGCTGATATGTGGTCAGGTATGTAGACAGCGGTTACAGGGGGGATTCAGGTGGGGACACGGTGCTGATGTGTGGGTCAGGTATGTAGACAGCGGTAACAGAGGGGATTCAGGTGGGGACACGGTGCTGATATGTGGTCAGGTATGTAGACAGCGGTTACAGGGGGGATTCAGGTGGGGACACGGTGCTGATGTGTGGGTCAGGTATGTAGACAGCTGGAACAGAGTGGATTCAGAAGGGGGCACGGTGCTGATGTGTGGGTCAGGTATGTAGACAGCTGGAACAGAGTGGATTCAGATTGGGCACACAGTTTGGATAGGTGGATCAGGTATGTCGACATCTTCAAATGAGTGAGTGAGTGAGTGAGTGTGGTTTTACGCCGCTTTTAGCAATATTCCAGCAATATCACGGCGGGGGACACCAGAAATGGGCTTCACACATTGTACCCATGTCGGGAATCGAACCCGGGTCTTCGGCGTGACGAGCGAACGCTTTAACCACTAGGCTACCCGACCGCCCTCTTCAAATGAAGAGAGAGGGGGGCTTCAGATGATGAAGGGATATTTCTTTCAGGTATGTAGACAGCGATGACAGAGAGAGGGGACTAGAGAGGGGGTTCAAATGGGGGGCACTGTCCTGATTTATTAACTGAAGAAGGAGCTATTATGTAGTAATCATGTAATGGATGTACATTTTTTCGAACTTATAATTTCAGGGTCAATTGGACTTCTGTGTCTGCTGACAGTGTTGGCCAGAGGTGCCACTACAGTTCTGGTCACAGGTGAGTTCTGAAGGTGCCACTACAGTTCTGGTCACAGGTGGGTTCTGAAGGTGCCACTACAGTTCTGGTCACAGGTGAGTTCTGAAGGTGCTACTACAGCTCTGGTCACAGGTGAGTTCTGAAGGTGCCACTACAGCTCTGGTCACAGGTGGGTTCTGAAGGTGCCACTACAGTTCTGGTCGCAGGTGATCTCTGGATGTGCCGCTACAGCTCTGGGCACAGGTGGGTTCTGAAGGTGCCACTACAGCTCTGGGCACAGGTGGGTTCTGAAGGTGCCACTACAGCCCTGGGCACAGGTGGGTTCTGAAGGTGCCACTACAGCTCTGGGAGCAGGTGGGTTCTGAAGGTGCCACTACAGCTCTGGGCACAGGTGGGTTCTATAGGAACCACTACAGTTCTGGTCACAGGTGATCTCTGGATGTGCCGCTACAGCTCTGGGCACAGGTGGGTTCTGAAGGTGCCACTACAGCTCTGGAAGCAGGTGGGTTCTGAAGGAACCACTACAGCTCTGGGCACAGGTGGGTTCTAAAGGTACCACTACAGTTCTGGTCGCAGGTGATCTCTGGATGTGCCGCTACAGCTCTTGGCACAGGTGGGTTCTGAAGGTGCCACTACAGCTCTTGGCACAGGTGGGTTCTGAAGGAACCACTACAGCTCTGGGCACAGGTGGGTTCTGAAGGTGCCACTACAGCTCTGGGCACAGGTGGGTTCTGAAGGTACCACTACAGTTCTGGTCGCAGGTGATCACTGGATGTGCCGCTACAGCTCTGGGCACAGGTGGGTTCTGAAGGTACCACTACAGTTCTGGTCGCAGGTGAGCTCCAGATGTGCCACAACAGCTCTGGCCACAGGTGCGTTTTGGAGGTGCTGCTACAGTTCTGGTCACAGGGGAGTTCTGAAGGTGCTACTACAGTTCTGTCACAGGTGAGTTATGCAGGTGCCACTACAGCTCTGGTCACATGGGAGCTCTGGAGGTGCTACTACAGTTCTGTCACAGGTGAGCTCTGGAGGTGCTACTACAGTTCTGTCTCAGGTGAGCTCTAGATGTGCTCCTACAGTTCTGGTCAAAGGGGAGCTCTGGAGGTGCTACTACAGTTCTGTCACAGGTGAGCTCTGGAGGTGCTACTACAGTTCTGGTCACATGGGAGCTCTGGAGGTGCTACTACAGTTCTGGTCACAGGTGAATTCTGAAGTTGCTACTACAGTTCTGTCACAGGTGAGTTCTGGAGGTGCTACTACAGTTCTGTCACAGGTGAGTTCCATACTAAAGAGTGGGCATGGGAGGTATTAAAGTATGATCTTGTTGTTTGTTGTAGGGGTATCATGTTAGTTGGGGCGATGTATAATGGGCTTTAATGTTTCATCACCATCAACATCATCATGCCCTCGACAACAGGGAGGAGAAGGATTCTGGTGTTCATGGTAATGATAACGGTAATATAATTATCATTATTATATATGACATAATTATATTTTTCACAATTCAAACTTTGGTTTAGATATCGCCGATGAAAAGCTTAAGATTGCAAAGAAGGTTGGAGCTTCACACACCCTGAATGTCAAGGGCATGTCTCCCCAGGAGGCGGCTGCCGCCATTGAAGGAATTCTCGGGGAACCAGTCGACGTGACCTTGGAATGCACAGGCATGACCTCCTGTGTCAGCACTGGCATCTATGTGAGTGAACACCTCAATACTCTTACATCAATATAGAGGTAGGGAATAGGTCTTCGGCAACCCATGCTTGCCGTAAAAGGTGACTATGCTTGTCGTAAAAGGCGACTAACGGGATCGGAGGGTCAGGCTTGCTGACTTGGTTGATGCATGTCATCGTATCCAAGTTGCATGGACGTAAACGTAACGCAACGTAAAACCCCATTTCACCTCACCCAGTTGCGTGGATCGATACTCTTGATGTCAATCACTGGATTGTCTGGTCAAGACGCGATTATTTACAGACAGCTGTCATATAGCTGGAATATTGCTGATTTCGGCATTAAGCAACACACAAACAAAACAAACAAACAACAATATTCAGCGTCTTCTTTCTGGGGGGATGGAAGGCGCAGCAATTCGCTATGTAGAGTTGCATCCCTTTGGATGACAAAATTATGATTGTGTGTTCGAATCCTGGTTCGCCCTGATTATGTTCCTAGGTTTATCAGCATCATACTCGTGCCCCTAGGTTTAAAATAAACGTCAAATGCCGGAGAACAGCATCACTGAAATACTGTTCAAAGCAGCATCCGATATTTCAGAGGATCCGTTGGTTGTTGGTTCGAGTTCCATAATTCACCCTTTTGTTATCAAATGCACAATTCTTTCACATGTGTCCATATATTCTTAAAGGTTTAAAACAATAAAACTGAATGTCTCAATGTTTGGACCTAGGCGACGACCCGGGGTGGCAACGTCACCATGGTTGGGATCGGCAACCTCAGTATGGAGGTGCCCTTGGGCACAGCTGCAATGAAGGAAGTGGACATCAGAGGAATCCTCAGATACTGCCACGATGAGTAAGGCTACTTCAACAGTAAACGTGCTCTGGTGATATTAACTACTGTTACGATAAAATAACCACAGGTACAACCTGTTCTAAGGGGCAGCTCTGACTTTTGTTGTGAGGGATAATTGTGAGTGAGTGAGTTTGATTTTACGCCGCTTTTAGCAATATTCCAGCAATTTCACGGCAGGGGACGCCAGAAATGGGCTTCACACATTGTACCCATGTCGGGAATCGAACCCGGGTCTTCGGCGTAACGAGTGAACGCTTTAACCACTAGGCTACCCGACCGCCCACGTTCATCAGAACTCCAGCGATGTCATCAGACTGAATAATCTCATCCGGGCCTGGCAAACTGTGGTTGATGTCATGAGCCATGGTTCCCTGTGAGGGATAAAGCACGACTCTGAGGTTATGGTCGAGAAAGTAAGACCGAGGCAAGAGGGTATCGGCAATTTGAGACCGAGGACCTGTGATCAAAGGTGATCTTCGAATATTGATTAAACCTACACGTGTACATATAATCAATTGCTTCTATGTCACCTTTTCTTTCCTTCTCTAGTTTCACTAATGCGGTGAAACTGGTTGCCAGTGGTAAGGTGGACGTAAAACCCCTAATCACGCACAGATTCCCACTGGAGAAGTCTCTTGATGCCCTGAAGACCACGGCGAGCGGGGTGGCCATCAAGGTGATGGTCCGCTGTGCGGACAACTGAAGCACAAATCTCAGACTGTGTTTCAGATCTTTATATCCAAGAAATCTAGCACTGTTACATTTAAGTGGGAAGCATCTTTCTGGTGCAGTGCCCTATCGGTAGCTTGATAAATGACTTTCGCCAAGGCAGCATTTTACCTTTTATATCCAAGATATCTAGCACTGTTACATTGAAATACGGATGCATGTTTATAGTCCAGTATTATATGGGTAGCTTGATTATTGAGTTTCACCAAGCCAGAATTTCACCTGCTTATTTCAAAGATATCTTGCACTGCAGCTTTTAAATAGGTAAAACTCCTTGTCCTTCAGTACCGAAGTCAAGAAGAGTTTTACCCGCGTGATTGAGTGGGGTATTGCCTTAACAAATAGAGTAGTCGCCAGCATGCCAAGAGCAAGTGGTTTTTTCCAAGCAATCCTAGAGTGAATGAGTGAGTGAGTGATCGCCTTAACTGAATAACCTACTCAGCAGCACACGAAGAGAAGGGGATGGATACCAGTGAGAGAGTGAGTGAGTTAACGCTGCTTTGAACAGTATTCAGTTATACACTACGGATTTACAGTGTACACACCAGTTAATACTTAATAAACACAAAATAATACTCAAGTCAATTCGTAACTATCCGGAAGGGAGCATTCCCCACTGAAATCGTCTGATTCATGATTACGAAGTAATATAAATCTCTATACCTGCGTTCAGTACTTCTACGTTGTGGCTCAGTACTTACAAATGCATTTACTTACACCCATACTATAGAAGCACTTTGTTATATGTTAAAGAGCAGTATAAGGTTTAAGGGTAAATCATGTATAATTGTACATCATTGTTGTCTAATAAATAATTAACTTTACTTTTTACTTTTTGTTTTGGCTTTTCAACATGTACCACCGTGTGTCTGTTCTCTAGTGCCAGTACCACCAGGTGTCTGTGTTCTCTAGTGCCAGTACCACCAGGTGGCTGTGTTCTCTAGTGCCAGTACCACCAGGTGGCTGTGTTCTCTAGTGCCAGTACCACCAGGTGTCTGTGTTCTCTAGTGCCAGTACCACCAGGTGGCTGTGTTCTCTAGTGCCAGTACCACCAGGTGGCTGTGTTCTCTAGTGCCAGTACCACCAGGTGTCTGTGTTCTCTAGTGCCAGTACCACCAGGTGTCTGTGTTCTCTAGTGCCAGTACCACCAGGTGGCTGTGTTTTCTAGTGCCAGTACCACCAGGTGTCTGTGTTCTCTAGTGCCAGTACCACCAGGTGGCTGTGTTCTCTAGTGCCAGTACCACCAGGTGGCTGTGTTCTCTAGTGCCAGTACCACCAGGTGTCTGTGTTCTCTAGTGCCAGTACCACCAGGTGGCTGTGTTCTCTAGTGCCAGTACCACCAGGTGTCTGTGTTCTCTAGTGCCAGTACCACCAGGTGTCTGTGTTCTCTAGTGCCAGTACCACCAGGTGTCTGTGTTCTCTAGTGCCAGTGCCAACAAGCCTCTTTTCTCTTGTGCCAGGACAAATTTTGTCTAATGGCAATCAGCAACCATCAATCATAATCAGCGGGAATCTGGGATTTGAACGACCTTTAGCAGATCCTGGTCCAACAAAGAAACACAACTCTGCACACTGAATTGTCACTCCCTAGATTGGTTGATATTGCACTTCCTCAGGATTGCAGTGGTTAGGTATGTGTTTCATCCCTCCATTATCACAATGTGAATTGAGTTTCATACCGCTTTCTGAAATATTCCAGCAACATCACAGTGGGGCCTGCAGAGTGACAAGCAAATGCCTTAAAGGGCAAGTTCACACGGAAATGAACCTATTTTTCTTGTACTTTTTCCACATTAAAAGTGTTAACCTAGTAGTGTCATAGACAAATATATAAAAATATCACAATTAATTAACATATGTTTTGCATTAAAACGATTTATATTTTTCACATTTACCAAGTGTTCTATTTCCATAACGAAAACACCATGGCTTATGCCCCTTGCAATATGACGTCATTGGTGCCAATTGATAAACATTATGACGTCATCATGCTATGTTAGAGCCGCTTCACGTGGTGTAGGTACAGCTGTGTGATTCTAGCGTCTCAGATGCCAGCCAGCATAGTGTTATGCTGAGTCATCACTGCGCCAGAGTGTGTCGTAGGCCATGTTGTTTTACCGAAAACTGGTACTTGATATCTTTTGCGTTGAGAATAGACAGGGATCAAGTTGAATTGGCACCAATTACGTCATAATCTAAGGGGGATAACTCAGGCCTGTTTAGCTCGAAAAACGAAGGCCTCATAACGGCATATCATTTTCACACTATTGTGAGCTTCCTACTTTCACTGTGAAAAATATGAGTTTACATTTTCAAACACAGATATTAACTAATTCTAAAATTGCGTTTTGTTTAGAAAAAGAAAGAAAGTGAATTTTGCGTGTACACTTCCCCTTTAACCACTTGGCCACTCCATCACCCTTAGGGGCTGGTCATTTAATATAGGGGTGGGTGGGGCTGTGTGATTGGTCACGGAGTAATGACCAGTCCCTAATTACAAATAATGTTGAAATTCATATTTTTATATTTTAACAAGAATCATCACGAGATGACATATCACCCCATTCAGGTGCCATTCGGACATGGAGTTTGGCTACTTATACCCCACCTTTGTCACACTGCCATTGGAAACCTTCAGTTCAGTGAGAAAAGAATAATGCTGTTCAATATTTTTCAACATCTCAATTCATCAAAAGACACCAGTTCACCATTCAACTGATCTGTATACCAAGTTTCATCCAGAAATATTCACCAATTCTGTAGTTACCCTCCAAAATGAGCACTCCCCTCAATTGCAGTAAAGTCCAACTAGTCATCATGAAAACCAAAAGTTAAAAAAATTAAAATCCCAAATCATCAAACGTCATCAGTTCACCACTAGATTGATCTGTACAGCAAGTTCCATCCTGAAAAATTCACCATAATAGTTCTGTTTTGGAAACAGAAAACAGACGGAAGATAGATGAACGGACATCATGGTCATGTTTTCCAAAACAGGGGGGAAAAAACACCCCAAACCTGTCATTTTTCCTGCTTCTCTCCCCCCATATAAAGTTGTGATAATATTAGCAACACCACCTCTTTCACTGTGTTATTTACACACAAACAAACAAACAAACAAACAAACACACATACACACACAAACACACACCAATCAATAAATGACCAGTCCCTTATCACAACAGAACACATCATAATGTTTACATTGTTTTTAATTTTGTATGAGCATTGTATTAAAAATAAGTACATACATATTGCCTCTAATTATTTTGCATAGATCAACTGCATCCATAATTACATCATCAACAAAATACAAACCGTATATTACAGTATGATTATAAACATATCAAAACTCGTGGAACCATCAATCTGTCAACAAGCAGATGACGGGATACTGTTTCCCCTCGGGAAGACATTCAAGTGACGTCTAATATCAGAGTCATTCAGTGGGCTACTATTCTCCTAACAACTCTGTACAACTATACAATGACCTGACTCGTAGTGTTTTATTATTTATTACACAGTAGCTGCTAAAACTGAATGTTTACAACATTCCAAGAAATTGACAGTTTTCAGGAAATAAATGAACTCAAGTAATATAACATGGGATCTTCACTTAAAAATTAAAGCATAAATTTTGCACCAACACAAAGGTTATACGTATCCATGCACAATTTGGACAAAGTCAAACTTTAATGTATACTGTTAAGAATGAAATGAATATTTTAGGTAACTGAAATAACATATTGGAATAGTGATATACTTACTGGTTGGAACAAATACAAACATTTAATGCTGAAGAATATAATATTGTAAAATTTCAAATTTGATTATTAGCATATTTGAATAGATATTTTCAAATTACAACAAAATATGGTCCACAATTATTCTAGTCATGTACAATGAAACTTGAAACAAAAAACAGATTAACTGCAATATATCAACAAAGTATTTATCTACACGAGTTAACAACCATTTTTTAACAACATTTCAGTGGAATTCTGTTTCAATAAATAAATTCATATTAACAGATGAGTAGCATACAAATAAGCAAAGCCGAGTTAATGACACACAATTTCACGTAGTTTCCCTACAGCCAGATTAATTATTGTCTGAACATAACAGTCATTTATCTGGAAAGAAGACGACTAATATCAATGTTGCAACTCCTACAACAAGATCGGTAAATATATAAAGTCAAAAGTAATCCAACGAATTAAGGAAAGTCATGTTGGCAAAACTTTGGCACAATACCTTGACAAAATTGTACTGAAGAATTAAATGATGCTGATCCCCAGCAATGAAACGTTCAAACAGAACTGCCATTTCTCTAATGCTGCCATTTTTTAAAACATACCATTCATGTTTTTTGGAAGATCAAGATATTCAGAGAGTTGAAACACCTTGCAGTAATATACAATTTGCAAGGAGTGACTCAATGACATAATTTTTCAGATGTGAGCTTTTTTTCACAATGAAAAACAGCAAATACAGACATAATTTATCATATGTTATACCCTTGTATCAAAATTGTGAAACTGTTTTTGGCATTTGTATTTACTAGGGTATCCAATGACAACAGCCACTCAACAAACACCTCACAAAATAGGCAAATTTCAACCAAACAGTGACATCCTTAATCATGTGAAAGCTAAAACTGTCCAACGAGAGCACTGCCTGTTGATAGTTGCCCAAACATTAGCAGTGGAGTTTAAAAGCACCAATCAAACAGTCCCAATAAATTGCAGGCAATGAAAGGTGTGAATTATGCAAGTTTTGTACATGGCTCATGCCCACCTGCAAAATGGTGATAAAAGCAAACTTGTGAGGTTTTGTCAACATGACTATGTCTATATTATGAGCGAGGTGTGCGTCGCAGTGTGCTGTTGGTCGACCGTGGAGTATGAAGATTGGAGGAAGAACCTGATGTCACCTGAAAAGAAACCTGAAGTTTTAAATAAAAGATAACACATTCTGGCAAATTGATCCTAACAAAACTTTGATTAAATGTAGCTCCATGCAATGCTACTGGAGATAAAGCTGATCTTACTCATAAACTAACATAAGGAAAGCCTTGACCTTCATTGTGTGGATTCCAGGTTAGAGTGAGTGAGTTGGGTTTAACGCCGCTTTTAACAGTATTCCAGTTATATCGCGGCGTGTCAGCTTAATGTGCGAGGAAAGCCCCAAATGGTGCAGGTCTCAGACATTTACCACTTCGGTAAAACCCAGGAGAAGAGGTATGGTGCTGACAAACCTAGAAACATAATCGGGGCGAACCGAGATTCAAACCCACAATCATAGGTTTCTGGCGTGCCCAAGGGACGCAACTCTGCACCAATGGATCAGATGGTCAGACTGGAGGACTTGGTGGATAGCGTGAAATGTTGGTCACGATATCGATCACTGAATTGTCTGGTCCAGATATCGATCACTGAATTGTCTGGTCCAGATTAAATACAGGCCCCTGCCAAAAAGCTGGAATATTGCTGAGGGCGGGTTGAACAAAAACAAATCCAAACTTGACCTTGATAAAACAGTACTTGATACACAGGGTGAACACAGGGTGACAAAACCTGACATCTCTGAACACAAGATAACTTCCACAGACCACACATCATCCATCTGTATCCATTACGATAAATACGCTAGAACCATGGCTCATGACATCAACCACAGTTTGCTAGGCCCGGATGAGATTATTCAGTCTGATGACATCGCTGGAGTTCTGATGAATGCAGCTTATAACAAATGATAGCTGTCAGGGCAAAGGTAGGTAACTCACCGGTCTGTGAGGGGGCGGGACTTCTTCGAGGAAACTCGCTGGCACAAGACCTCTCTTGCCACTAATCTGAAACAAACCAAGTACCTCAGATGATCAGATTCCTGTTGAATATGTAACAGAAGCAAAGTGACAAAACCAGAGGCATACCAACTGTGAAGCAAAATATATTTTAAAAACATACATGTATCATTTAAAGTTAACAAACAGAAAAAAACAGAAAATATTAATCAAACGATTATTAATTATTTTTTAACTTTTTCAAAATTTAGGGAAGGCTTGTCCACAAAACAAACAGATAAATTGGTCAGGTCTCTGTAACCATAAATGGTGCACTCAAAAAGGAAGCATAAACAGGATATGAAACAATGAGCATTCTGATTAAATGCAATGTTTTTATACTTACCCCACACTACAGCTACAGCACTGTGTAGCATCAGGTAAGGTAAAACTAACACTTTTAAATGATTTTTATCACATACACTTTCATCGGTGACTTTTTATAACAAGTAATGCACAATAAACTACGCATTGATCTATTTTCAGCATGCACATTTTATGAATATCTATTAAAACTCATTGTACATCAGTACAGTTACAGTGTCTGGGCTAGTTTTTTGAAGTGATACAACAGTGAGTAGTTACCTGGCCATGATAGAAGCCATCAGGCCGGAGTTGACCGAATACTTCGATCACATCTCCTGCCCTGAATGCCAACTCATACCCTGTGTAGTCGTGGGGGGAGTGGTGCCGGGGGTCGTAGTCGTACACGCCCATAAACTGCAAGTACAAACAAGGCTAACATAAAATCACACAACAAACTTCAATTTCTTTCACAATTTTTAGCCATATATGTGTTAAATGAGCAATATATTTGAATATCTAAAAAACAATTTAAGGCAGTAGTCAAGTACAATAAATAATATTTCATAATTTACCAATATTGTATAACCAGCTCTAAAGCCAAAACAAATTGTTTCCAAACTGCAGTTACATTTACATTATTAATCAATGTAAAATATTATTGACATTTTTATAACTTCATTATAGACACATCTTCACAATCACCATCCAAGTCTACCAGAAAGGAAGCATCTTGCACAAGATCCTTATCCTCTGAAGGGTCATTCACTCACCAGTCTCTTCTGTCCCTGGTCATAATGGCGACTGGACAAGATGGAGGACAGATCTGGGTCGGTGGCAGCCTCATTCTCACTTCCCCCACAGCGAGGCAGGTCAGTGGGTTTGTACACTGTCTCCACCAGGGTGGAGGTCTGCCCGGCACTGCTGACTGTCTGCAGGGAGAAGTGCTGGTGCTGGCTCTGGTCGATGTTCTCGACCACAGACTTGGCCAGGTGTGGGCTGGAGGGCTGCTGGCACAGGCGGCCATTCAGGAAGATCTGGGAAATAGAAATCAAGTGAATGTTGTTTAAAGCACCAGTTAGCAATAATTGCCCTATACAGTCAAGTCCCATTAATCCGACATGTTGCATTTGATTATGCCAGATAAACAAGAGTGTCGGATCACCGAAAATGAGCATTATCAAAGTTCGTGATGAACCAATGACAACTACTCGATAGATAATGATACATGTAGGTTGGAATTAAATCATAAAAAATGAAATATTCATATTTTCATTCTGGTAAAGGATTAAATTTTAATTGTTAAGCGAGTATATCTCTACAGCCATTGCAATTTGCAGCCACAAGCCGAGTCATCTCCCATCAAAACAAGGGGCTGTGTACTCATGGCCAGATGACCACGGAGTACGCTGATCACTGTGTCAGATTAACGAGACTGATTAATAAGCCAATCCAGCAATCTGCTGCAAATTAGGTGTGTCAGAGTCGGAGTGCGAGACTGTCGGATTAACAGGTCTAAATAGCACTGATTTAAATGGACCCTGTCATTAGTGTCGGATAAATCTGATTGTCGGATTAACGAGAGACGGATTAATGGGACTGTCAATAAGGTTCTGGGCCAGGCTAAGAGTGAGTGAGTTGGGTTTAACGCCGCTTTTAACACTATTCCAGTTATATTGTGGCGTGTCTGCTTAATGTGGGAGGAAAGTGATGCAGGTCTCAGACGTTTACCACTTCGGTGAAACCCACGAGCACGGGTATGGTGCTGACAAATCTAGAAACATAATCGGGGCGAACCGGGATTCGAACCCGCCAGGCTAAGACATAGCATGAGAAACAATCTAAGCACGATCCACAGAGCCCATCCACCTGATCCAATTCAGTGGTATAAATTCATTACCACATTATCATCCAACTTTTGATTTTTGTACCCATTCTACCCTTGAATACCTACAGTGAAGTCAGAGAGTAAATGTTGTGTGATGCAACAGTCAGAGTGTGTGTGTGTATGTTGTGTGATGCAACAGTCAGTGTGTGTGTGTGTGTGTGTGTGTGTGTGTGTGTGTGTGTGTGTGTGTGTGTGTGTGTGTGTGTGTGTGTGTGTGTGTGTGTGTGTGTGTGTGTGAGAGAAACATTTTCCAGTCCAGTCCTGAGGCCAATCTCAACACTGCCCCCCCCCCTCTTTGCTGACAATCTGGGCCCAATGATGACTCCATATCCTCCATGTATGAGTACCATTGCACATCTCACCCTGTATCCCACAACCTGGGAGTTGTTGCTGCAACCGACTTCATCAAGGTCTGGTGGTATCCATGACAACATGACGCCGGTTTCGCCAACCAGACGCTCCACATGGAACTGTCTTGGAGCTTCAGGTGGACCTGCGTACGGAACAATTTTCAACCTTTAAGTATTGCAGTTCGAGGAGCACCAAGGGGTGAAAAAAAATTCATGTATTATCTATAACATCTGCTTTGTTTAATTATTGATTTAAAGAATTTTTATGAAAATCATGGTCAGTAAGAAGAAAGACACTTAAAAGAACACAGAAAGTTTCTGGTCTAACATATCTCATATATTGTTAACCCAGTCTCTTTGGTCTTGCAATTCAAATATTATCTATCCTACCTTTTTCCGGGTCAAGACATAAGTTTGCATTTGGCAGAATTAAAAGAAGTGCTTTTTATGCAGATTTTAACTTTTTCATTCTCTTCTGTTCTTGTAGACCGCAGACCCGTAAACAAACTTTCCAAAAAGTATCACCTAAGCAACCACCCTCATTTATTTCCACCAATATTGTCACATTGTAAAAGATCATATACTGACCACTCCTCGGGGCGGTCTTGAACATGGGCTTGTGTGAGCGAGTTTGTGCAGACGATGAGGACACCAGGTGTTTGGGTGTCTGGGTGCCATGATGGGCATGGCTACTGGTGGGGGTGGACCGGCTGCTGCTGCTGCTGCTGCTGCTGCCCCCTACAGGATGGAAATGATGAAACTTCAACACATCATTCATCACCATGTGAGTGAGATATCCGAAGTCACCTAGCATCTTGTAATTAATCAACCTACCAACCTCCATCAGGTACAGCGTGCGATTCACGTATAGAGAAGACCTTCATTTACGCTAAACATCCACAAAAGACCCTGCAAAGACCCTGTGAAGACGCAGCGGAGACTCATGACAGCATTAATGTTTTTTTCTGTGAGGATAAGTCACCTAGGCTCTCATAAATATTCAACCAGTTCAATCACATACAATGGGTATCTCTACATACAGTGCAATCACCTTAAGGTTTGTCAATCATAACATCCGGATTTAACCCATAAACAGCTTAACTCATTCTTATTAATGTAGAGTTATCTCCCTTAAAATATATAAAAGGTGGAATGCAATACGGAATGTGATTTACATCAATCTCCGAGACATGACACATAGGTTCTCCATTCGTCACCACTCGCCCCTTTCCGTAACCTGCAAGAAGACTCGTCCCCCCTATTGATGAATGTTATGTGCGAAAATACGACAAACCAATCAGAATGCGCGTATGATTTCACGTTCTTCGTCAAAGAATCCCTCAGAAATAATTTCTGTTTTTACATATGTCTTGCATCTAAAAATATACCCAAGACACAGTTAAATGTGTTCAATCATACTGTATAATTTCGCATGTCCTGATGTGCTTTCAATTGCATCTGAAATATAAATGATATATGGGGAAATATATGTGAACCATTGCGCAACGAGTTGACAATTGTTTTAGGTATGCCCGTTTGCGCTAAGACGGAACCCCGTTGCAAAAATGGCCACGAGTCGCTATTCGGCTTGTCCCGGAATAACACGAGTTGGTCACGGATGATAGGTTCTCATTCAAGTAGAGAACACAAGACAGTGATATTAGTCTATTTAATATACTTCATGTCTTCATGCCGATAATCCCAGACACGAATGTTTTCAAGATTGGGACAGGTCCACACTCTCAACGTACCATGTCTGGGGGAGATGTGAGGAGCCTGCAGCTGATGGTACATCTCGGTCACTCTCTCTGGGCTGTTGTCCTGGTGAGCTGGCTGGTTCTAGCGATGATAGAAACAAGGGATTACTATCGAGGGGATAATACGATTAAAATGGTGTTATGATCTTTCAACACTGGTGAGACTCTGTTGGGATAGATGTACAACTATCAACGGCTTAATACAATTCCAGTGGTATTAGGATACTTGGTATGGAACAGTTCTACTAGTCCAGTCAATCTAGCCATATATAGACCCAACCCACCATAAATTGCAACAGAAACTCAACAAAATCTTTCATTTGACATGTATCATGACACAGTTTAAACAAAAACTTCATCACACATACATGCTTCAGTGTGGCCTTGCCCCCCCTAAAATTTAGGGTCCAATTTGACTTGTTCCACCAGTCCAAATTTGGTAGACTTTGTATGTGTTATACAGAGATAATTTCTGAGTGTCAATCAGTTGAAATCATTTCTCTTGCAATTCATGGTGGGTGCCTTGCCATTTTGACTGTCTAATCTCTACAATGTCAATAATGACACATTGAGTGAAACAATAGCAGGCATACTCCTTATATTCGGATACAGAAAACTTTAAACATATTCAGTCATGAGTTAAATCTTTCACTGCATTTTTTGGAAAAAAACCTGAAAATCAGTGGCAAGAATGTCAGGATTTATTTCACAGTTACCTTCAAATGTTTTAACCTCCTTTCTTTGGGTGTGCCATGGTGTCCGTTAGAACCCAGTCCTGCCGGCTGGAGACATGTGGCAGGCACCAGACCCGCTCGCCCATTACACTCCACCTCATAGTAACCATTCTCATCTATTGGACCTGCAACAGAGGAGTAAGTGAGTGAGTGAGTGAGTTGGGTTTGAAGCTGTTAAACAGTATTTCAGTTATATCATGACATGTCAGCTTCATGTGTGGGAAGAAAGCCTGAAGTGATGAATGTCTGATGATAACTACTTTGGTGACACCCACAAGCACGGCCATGGTGCTAACAAACCTAGAAATAAAACTAGGGAAAATCTGGGAATCGAACCAACACGTGTCTGGCACGCCAGTCGGTTGCAACTCTTTTCCATGAATTGCAGCCTTCTATGACTTGGTCAATCATGTCCCTCATAACAGAAGATTGCCCCTGAACTTCCATTCAGTCAGCAAGATTCAGTAAGACTATGGTGGTTCGTAACTCATCTAGTCATGACAAGGCAAACCTGTCCTTGCTTACACATTCAATGCTCCATGAGGACGGGGCAAGAAGACCCATAATCAACCAGGTCACACGATGCAACCACTTCATCCACAACAGTCTTCTTCCCGGGGCAAGAGAGTTAACTGACTTTAAAAGTCCAGTTTCCACCCTTGCCGAACAAGGCTGGAATTCCTGGGCTCTATCGTAGCGCCACCAGTGGTTATTACGAGTTATGTCCCTTCTAAGCTTCTCCTGTGAACCAATCAGATTTCACCACCCTATCACTTGCATTTGCTTCAAACTAAACAGTGGCGCCCAGTCAAGACGATCTGATCGATAATCAAGGTCTATGTTGTGATAAAACGGGTTTTGATTGGACTATGCATAGACTCGTTAGTCCAGCCAAATGTAACTCCATAATACCAGCCTGGTTCGGCAAGGGTGGAAACTGGACTTTTATAGTCAGTTAACTCTCTTGCCTTGGGAAGATGACAACAGTCAGCTTATGGCAAATATGGGTTACTGAGGACCTGTTCTGGCCTGACTCCTTATATGCAATTATGCAGACTAGGGTGAAAGGAACCTTGTTGCTTCCAGATCGAAAGACAATTTTTTGTTTAGAGTCAAACACAATTCTACTGATTCTTCTTCAGATTCTACTATCTCTTTCAATGTCAAGTCATATTGCAGAGGGACATAGCTTCAATGTATTTACAATGCTGGGCAGGTTTGTTGTAGATGTTTAAGTTCACTGAATTTCTCCCATCTTGAAATCATGAAATTAAGTAACAAAAGTTCTTTCATGAAAATAATCCTATAGACATGCGCTGACACGTAAGCAGGTATCAATTCAAAAGATCTCACCTGTGACCTTGACCTTGTCGCCTTCCTGCAGTCGGAGCTGCAGACTTGGATGACCGGTAGTAGACAAGGCATCTGGAATGCAGTCTGTGATGGCCACAAAGTGACTGGCATCGGGCAGATGTCCATACTTTTCCCTCATACTGTGGACAAGTCCCCCACTGCCCCGAGGACTAAGATTGTTGGCATTGATTGAGCGTTGGAGAATTCCCTGGAATGGTGACCTTCGACCCATCAGGTGGTCAGCTGATTTGGGCCGCCTCTTGTTGGCGGACTCAACACTCCCGATCTCGGTGTCGCTGGATAGATCTCGACTGTCCGACAATGAGGAGGAGGAGGACCACCGCCCAGAATTCCTCTGGTTGCGAATGAAACTGTTGACATCGATCTTTCCTGCCCTTGGACTGTCAGCCTGAGAGAAACAGAAATGACAACATGAGCCAGCTAGAATGTGTGAGAATAATTCGTTATTCCAGTTTTCATCCTTAATATCTGTATTTCTGATATTTATAGTTAAAATCTAGAAACGTTGGCATGTAATTGCAAATTATTTAGAATCCAAAATGATAGTCAATGACTTGACTCTTTAACTCATAAAGTAATGCTTGACTGAATCATTCACACCAAAGTTAATTCAGAAAACAAGGCCATAATTTTGTCAATTTTCAGACTTAAACTAGAAAACTTTAGCCATGTTAGCTTATTTTAACCAATATGTAAGTGAAAAGAGACAATCAAATTTCACATATGAAATACTGCAATTGGTACACTGAATTTTTTTATCAAGATCCCAACAGCAAACTTAAAGGCAAATTGAGCATCTTCAGGAATGTTTCTGTGAAGTGCATGGTGATGCTTGCATTGTAACTGAAATAGGCAATGCTGCAATCGAGAATGAACACAGACAAAGGTACAGACCCGATTGGCCTGTGTGTAGGGGGAGAGAGGGCGGTAGTACTCCTCGTTCTCAGTGTCCTGCTCAAACTGTTCCAGTTCCTCCAGAACCGACGCCAGGTTCTCTGCAGTCTGGCACCGCTTCAACTCCTCTGCGAGCCGATGTATCAAAGCATCCTGCAATAAGCAGGGAGAGGTTAGTAAGGGCAACAAGTAGTCATCTCATATAGATTGTCATATTTGTTTGTTTATTTTTTAGCGCTGCACTCAGCAATATTCCAGCTAAATGATGGCAGCTGGAAAATAATCAAGTCTGGACCAGACAATTCAATAACTGACATCATACAAGTTAAACTTGTTGACAACAACAACCTTTTGTTAGTCAGGGTCACTTTTTAAAGCAATCATAGCGCAATGACTTTTGCAGGTAAAGGTTAAGGTTTTATGATAGTTGTAGTGCTAAGATCTCTCTGTGACATGGGCCACAAGGAACATGGAGAATTTCACTCAAATCAATTATAGTGATACGTATCATATAGGGACTTAAGTATTGCTTTACATATACTATCATGCCTTAGGATTTGTGATATGTATGATGTGTAGTAGGTTTATCCAGCCTCCCTAATGCTGCCCAGGTAAGATGTCCCCTCTGTTCCCCAGACCTGTGTATAGAGCCACCCTAACGCTGCCCAGGTAAGATGTCCCCTCTGTTCCCCAGACCTGTGTATAGAGCCACCCTAACTCTGCCCAGGTAAGATGTCCCCTCTGTTCCCCAGACCTGTGTATAGAGCCACCCTAACGCTGCCCAGGTAAGATGTCCCCTCTGTTCCCCAGACCTGTGTATAGAGCCACCCTAACGCTGCCCAGGTAAGATGTCCCCTCTGTTCCCCAGACCAGTGTATAGAGCCACCCTTACACTACCCAGGTAAGATGTCCCCTCTGTTCCACAGACCTGTGTATAGAGCCACCCTAACGCTGCCCAGGTAAGATGTCCCCTCTGTTCCCCAGACCTGTGTATAGAGCCACCCTAACGCTGCCCAGGTAAGATGTCCCCTCTGTTCCCCAGACCTGTGTATAGAGCCACCCTAACACTGCCCAGGTAAGGTGCTTCCACTGTTCCCCAGACCTGTGTATAGAGCCACCCTAACACTGCCAAGGTAAGATGTCCCCTCTGTTCCCCAGGCCAGTGTATAGAGCCACCCTAACGCTGCCCAGGTAAGATGTCCCCTCTGTTCCCCAGACCTGTGTATAGAGCCACCCTAACGCTGCCCAGGTAAGATGTCCCCTCTGTTCCCCAGACCTGTGTATAGAGCCACCCTAACACTGCCCAGGTAAGATGTCCCCTCTGTTCCCCAGGCCAGTGTATAGAGCCACCCTAATGCTGCCCAGGTAAGATGTCCACTCTGTTCCCCAGACTTGTGTATAGAGCCACCCTAACACTGCCCAGGTAAGATGTCCCCTCTGTTCCCCAGACCAGTGTATAGAGCCACCCTAACACTGCCCAGGTAAGATGTCCCCTCTGTTCCCCAGACCTGTGTACAGAGCCACCCTAACACTGCCCAGGTAAGATGTCCCCTCTGTCCCCAAAACCTGTGTATAGAGCCACCCTAACGCTGCCAAGGTAAGATGTCCCCTCTGTTCCACAGACCTGTGTATAGAGCCACCCTAACGCTGCCCAGGTAAGATGCTTCCACTGTTCCCCAGACCTGTGTATAGAGCCACCCTAACACTGCCCAGGTAAGATGTCCCCTCTGTCCCCCAGACCTGTGTATAGAGCCACCCTAACGCTGCCCAGGTAAGATGTCCCCTCTGTCCCCCAGACCAGTGTATAGAGCCACCCTAACGCTTCCCAGGTAAGATGTCCCCTCTGTTCCACAGACCTGTGTATAGAGCGACCCTAACGCTGCCCAGGTAAGATGTCCACTCTGTTCCCCAGACCAGTGTATAGAGCCACCCTTACACTACCCAGGTAAGATGTCCCCTCTGTTCCCCAGACCTGTGTATAGAGCCACCCTAACGCTGCCCAGGTAAGATGTCACCTCTGTTCCACAGACCTGTGTATAGAGCCACCCTAACACTGCCCAGGTAAGATGTCCCCTCTGTCCCCCAGACCTGTGTATAGAGCCACCCTAACACTGCCCAGGTAAGATGCTTCCACTGTTCCACAGACCTGTGTATAGAGCCACCCTAACGCTGCCCAGGTAAGATGCTTCCACTGTTCCCCAGACCTGTGTATAGAGCCACCCTAACACTGCCCAGGTAAGATGTCCCTTCTGTTCCCCAGACCTGCGTATAGAGCCACCCTAACACTGCCCAGGTAAGATGCTTCCACTGTTCCCCAGACCTGTGTATAGAGCCACCCTAACACTGCCCAGGTAAGATGTCCCTTCTGTTCCCCAGACCTGTGTATAGAGCCACCCTAACACTGCCCAGGTAAGATGCTTCCACTGTTCCCCAGACCTGTGTATAGAGCCACCCTAACGCTGCCCAGGTAAGATGCTTCCACTGTTCCCCAGACCTGTGTATAGAGCCACCCTAACACTGCCCAGGTAAGATGCTTCCACTGTTCCCCAGACCTGTGTATAGAGCCACCCTAACACTGCCCAGGTAAGATGCTTCCACTGTTCCCCAGACCTGTGTATAGAGCCACCCTAACACTGCCCAGGTAAGATGCTTCCACTGTTCCCCAGACCTGTGTATAGAGCCACCCTAACGCTGCCCAGGTAAGATGCTTCCACTGTTCCCCAGACCTGTGTATAGAGCCACCCTAACACTGCCCAGGTAAGGTGCTTCCACTGTTCCCCAGACCTGTGTATAGAGCCACCCTAACACTGCCCAGGTAAGGTGCTTCCACTGTTCCCCAGACCTGTATAGAGCCACCTTAACGCTGCCCAGGTAAGATGTCCCCTCTGTTCCCAGACCTGTGTATAGAGCCACCCTAACACTGCCCAGGTAAGGTGCTTCCACTGTTCCCCAGACCCGTATAGAGCCACCCTAACACTGCCAAGGTAAGATGTCCCCTCTGTTCCCAGACCTGTGTATAGAGCCACCCTAACACTGCCCAGGTAAGGTGCTTCCACTGTTCCCCAGACCTACCTTCTCCCTGCACTTCCTGCTGAGCCGGGTAACCTGGGCCTTGAGTGGGGAGATGGCCATCACAGCCTTGTTCTTCAGTCTTTCCACCTCCTCATACTGTTGGACAAATAGCACCATTGTAGTGGGAACATAGAGGTGGATCCACAATTGAGGAAACATGCAAGTTTGGATCCAGCATTTTTAAAAGGGAGGGGTCCAAAATATCAAAATCCTCTCTCAGATAATGTTACTGCCTACAACATACAACATTTGGTTTGACTCCCTGAACCCCGCCTCTAGATCTGCCTATCACATGGGAGGGCGGACACTACCCAAATAATGAGGTAAACACCGCTTCTTTGAATTCTTCAGTTATGAAGTTAACAATCAGGTAGAAAATAGTAGAAATTATCAACTTCTGTCGTACAAAAAAATCAGCATTCCATTTAGCCACAATCAATTATTATTTGATTTTTTTATAAACATACATAAAATCTAAGGCAGGAACCATATCATGCTTTGTATTATCATTTTTTTTAAGAAAAAGGCCTCTGTGTGCATTTATGTTGACAGATGTGATGTACATGAAGGATCAATGTTTGGTAGGTGAGTGAGTGAGTGAGTTGGGTTTAACGCCGCTTTTAACAGTATTCCAGTTATATTGCGACGTGTCAGCTTAATGTGGGAGGAAAGCCCGAAGTGATGCAGGTCTCAGACCTTTACCATTTCGGTGAAACCCACGAGCACGGGTATGGTGCTGACAAACCTAGAAACATAATTGCGGCGAACCGGACAGATGTGATGTACATGAAGGAGCAATGTTTGGTAGGACTATATATACTACCCAAAGGAAGTTAAAGAACACACAATTCTTTCATATCACTATAGCTAATCTGTCATGAAATAACTATAATAATATGAAAGAATCGGGTGTTTTTCTAAATTCTTTAGTATATATGGTGTAAAGAAGTAAAGGATCAAGGCAACACACAGCCATTTTCTTCGGTTGTATATGAACTTGGGGACAAAACAATCATGGGAGGTAGACTTGAGGTAAAAATCTAATAAATTATTTATCATGGGTATCATGGCCGCGTAGACTCCACATTATTAACATGCTTAGATTTATTTATCATGGCCGTATCTACTCCACTTTATTAACATGCTAGGATTTAGGTTAATAGCTAGTAATTGTTAATAGAAAAAGAAGACTAGTTTCCATGAATCACAGAACCAATATATCCGCAAAACATTTTCAGTCAGACCGGTGTCCTTATCAAGTTATTACAAAGAAATCTGGACAAGAAACATGTATTAGGAAACACAAGAAACATAGTCAAGAAGGAGAAACAAACGAGACCAAAGAATACAAAAATCTCAAGAGAAGGGTTCATAATAAAGAATTTTTGTAATGTTGAAATAAAATGACTGAAAAGAAATGTATCAACTGAAAGACTTCGCAAAGACACATCCAGATTCAGAACTGACAAACCATTACCGAGAAATGAACATTGATACATAAACATTAAACCCACAGAAGCACCTAATGTCTAACACCTCTTGAACATAATGCAAAGATAATGTCGTGTAGAGAACTTGCCCTGGATTTAATGGTATGATAGTCATCCTGCATGGTCTTGAGGTGACTGTTCTCCTTGTCAATGTCAGCCATCCTGTCCTGCAGGTGCACAAGCTCCTGCTTCAGCTGTTCAACTCGCTCCATCTGGTGGCCATATTGGAAAAAGCAGACGCATTGAGCATGTGCAGAAGGGACACGTCGCACACACAGATTGATGTACAAGCAGCCACAGTGATGTGCAAGATGGCATGGAACAAGGGAATATAAGCTTGGAACTATAGCATAAGCTTGGATTCTAAGAGAGGCAGCTATAGGATATATTAGGATTTATGCACCATGAAACAGGATGTGATCATTGATAGGGAACTATGGATTAAATGAAAATGACCTGTAACAATTCATTGTATAGAATTTTTAATGGAACAATATCATTAGTTACACAGATATTGTAAATTACTGTTTCAAAATGATGATTAATCATGCAATATTTAAAGCCTCTCCAAGATCAAGAGTGAGCATGGCTTTATGCCGCTTTTAGCAATATTCCAGCAATATCACGGCCGGGGACACCAGAAATGGGCTTCACACATTGTACCCATGTCGGGAATCGAACCCGGGTCTTCAGCGTGACGAGCGAACGCGTGACTACCCGACCGCCCCTAGAACTCCCAGAAGAAAGGCAGCCCGACACAGATATAGGGGAATGAGACAATTGGGACAATGGAGGATACTTGATATACAAATGAAATGTAAAAAGCATCTGGTATTGTAACAACTGTACTTGTGCATTGAGAAACAACATGCGGCAGTGAAACAGAAGAGTGCTGATAATTAATAGTCTGAACCTGGAAAGATCTTAAAACTATTCATCACCTTTAACTACAAGAGTGAGTGAGTGAGTGAGTGAGTGAGTATGGTTTTACGACGCTTTTAGCAATATTCCAGCAATATCACGGCGGGGGACACCAGAAATGGGTTTCACACATTGTACCCATGTCGGGAATCAGACCCTGGTCTTCGGCCTGACGAGCAAACGTTTTAACCACTAGGCTACCCAACCGCCCCTTCAACTACAAGAATTTGTGCAAACTTCTTTCAAAACAAGGAAATTCATCATCAACCATAATTTGGTTCAACTCAGCGTTAAAAAGAAACCAAAACCAACCCAATACAAACTGAATGAATCTGATAAAAAGAAGCATGGCGTCCATTAACAGAGTGAAAATTCATCATGAACAGTCAGTGAAGAGTTGCCTCCCATGCACAGCAAACAGTGCAGAGCTATTCCCCATGAGCCAAGGCAGCAACAATGGAATCTGACTGATTACCCGATCACTGAGAAGTCTTGATGCTCCCTCAAGTTGTCCTTCAAGGGCACTGTTTTCTGCTTCCTTCACACCAAAATCTTTTAGACGCAGCTTCAAATTTTGAATCTCATCTTCCAGATCCTCTTTCTCGGACAGAACATGCTTGTATTCTGCACAGACACTCCTCAGATCGTGTAGCTGTGTGTGGGGATGGGAGGAAGGGTTAGCAGGGTTAGTGAGGCAAGGTGGGGCACACAGTGTTCACAACACTGTTGTTGCTAGTTAGAAAGCATGCAATCACAGATACGCCATCTTGCATTTGACAAACATGTGACTGTTAGTATGCACACAGTGTTACATTTAAATACAGAAGTCAGTCTTTTTTAGTCATCAACTTAAATTTATATCTCTACTTTTCAAAAATGAACCACAAAAGTATTAAAAAATCACGAAGTCAAAATTAATCTTGATGCCATTCTGATAAAAATATCGTGATTTGATAAGCGTTGGAAGAACACTGACCTGTTCCCGTAGTTGGTTGTATTCCTCCTTTAATTCCTTCAGCTGCTCCTCAGTATTCTCCAAATGTGTTACTTCAACCTCCAAATTTCGTAGACTATCAAGTGCGTTGGCACGCATTTTCTCCGTCCTATCACATTCCTCCTTCCACCGAAGGACTTCCACTGTTAGTGTTTCTATCTCACTAGTCTGGAAGGAGAATCACATAGTTAAAGGGAGACTACTCACAAGCTGATTTACTGATCCAAACTTAAGATGTACATCGATCAAACTGTCAATGACCTAAATAAATCAGTTTGACCTGAAGTCACTAATTACAGTGAGTTGGGTTTAATGTCGCTTTTAACAGTATTCCTGTTATATCGCGACGTGTCAGCTTAATGAGGGAGGAAAGCCCGAAGTGATGCAGGTCTCAGACGTTTACCACTTCGGTGAAACCCACGAGCACAGGTATGGTGCTGACAAACCTAGAAACATAAGCGGGTGAACCGGGATTCAAACCCACAATCATAGGTTTCTGGCGTGCCCAAGGGACGCAACTCTGCAAAGCGAATCACTGCGCCTTGGACAACTGGGCCACCCATGCCCCCCTCGCTAATTACAATGTCTACACCAAGAGCATAGTCCTCCATTAGTGCTGGACTTCTTCAATAGTCTCCGCTACCATATTAACCTGAGCATAGTGCACACTTTTCTCAAAAAACTACAACCCGTGAAGATCCGGGATGGAATAGGTCTTCAGCAACCCATGCTTGCCGAAAAAGGCGACTATGCTTGTCGTAAGAGGCGACTTACGGGATTGGGTGGTCAGGCTCGCTGACTTGGTTGAAGTATGCCACAGATCCCAATTCACAACTCAGCTACACAACTCAACATCAATGCTATTGTCTGATCTCTGCAAAGAAAATGGCGGTGCCCTAGACACCAGGACTACCTGTGCTCCGCTATTGTCTGAGCACGAAAGGAAGTGCTATTGTAGTGTACTCACTTTGGTTGCTATTTCTCGATCCCGTTTGTAAAGTTCTGTTTTAAATGCTGCTGGGTCTTCCAATATGTCTTCTTTCCGATAACCTGAGTGTTGTAGTTGAGACTTGATGCTGACTAGATGCGACTGTAAGTTCTGTACTATGTCCCTATCACTGTGCTTGTTCTGCAACACAACAAAACATCATCATGAAGCAGTGACTGTTTGTTTGCTTGTTTCTTGCTTAAAGGGGCGGTTGGGTAGCCTAGTGGTTAAAGCGTTCGCTCGTCACACCGAGGACCCAGGTTCGATTCCCAACATGGGTACGATGCGTGAAGCCCATTTCTGGTGTCCCCCGCCGTGATATTGCTGGAATATTGCTAAAAGCGGCGTAAAATCAAACTCATTTACTCACTCTTGCTTAAAGCCACACTCAGCAATATAGAAGGATCCGGCATACACAGAGGATATTTCACGTGTTGAAACATGATATTTCACAAGACATATGGTATATCCTGTTTATTATATACTTTTTGTCTAGTTCTAAACTGGAAAATTAAATTATTTCAATACAACTGTAAAACCTTGAAACGTAAATTCTCCCTATCTAACACACAGGGACGGTGCACCACCCCTGGTATTTGCGAGTCACAAAGCAGTTCCATGTTTGCAAAATCTTAAAAATTATAAACAAAAGTAACAAAAAATATTTAGGTTCACGGACATTCTTTTTCATACGTTTGAATATGATTATATACAAAAGAACATTAAACTAAAAATATTCTTGAAATCTATGAGACAACTGTTGGAAGCAAAAGAATACAACAAGTCTCGATTGACAAGTTAAATGAGAAATTTACAGATTATAACGAAACATTTTCAAGAGAACAACAAACGGCAAGAAGCAAAATTAACTCCAAAAATGACCATCTATCACTATTTTGCCTTGTCAATGTGGAACAGTTTAGTGTGCGTTAGACAATTAAGATAAAGGGTGACAATTTGCGGGGAGGTAACTCTTGTATGGCAATAGTTCCATCAGAGTGTTACGTTCACAGCAGTGAAATATCTGCAATGAAAATATCACAATTCTCAACTTCGGAAACTTCTTGTCTAGGCATCCAATTTAAGAGCGCAGACCTGTGTACACAGCTGGGACAAATACAAGAGACTGGGATTTTCACATGACCATGCATGCTCATAAGCTTAGGGCAAATATGTTACTGATTTGCACTCTTTGTGAGTAGAAAGACAAAAGATTAAATTTCAACATTGAAATACCACATAAGGGCTCAGCATCCAGAGTTCCAAAATGGGGTGGGCACCCTCAATATTCACCAAAGCAACCCTTGCACAGTATTGCATAAAAATCCTGTACTGAATGAATGTCGTTCCATGATGGCTGAGTGGAAGACAGTCAACTCTCATTTACTGGCAAATTGACTGTTTCTTTGTTTGTTGTTTAACCCACACTCATCACTATTCCAGCTGTATGATGGCTGTAAATAATCCATTCTGGACCAGTCAATCCAGTGACTGACATCATGAGTATCGATCCACGCAATTGGGATACGATAACCTGCATCAAACCAAGTCGGCGAGCCTGACCACCCGATACCGTTGTGTCTTGATTATTTACAGACCACCATCATATACCTGGAATATTGCTGAGTGTGGCATTAAACAACAAACAAACATCAAGACCGACTGAGTCTTCTTACGACACCACCAAGCACTAAAGAAGACATACCCTTGTCTGCCACATCATCTTTCACACAAAAAAGTATAGCTACCGTATTCGACGTAATAAGCGCCCTGCTCTAATGAGCACCCACAGCGATATTTGCTAATATGTTGGCTAGTGAACAATCCCAATTAGCACCCCTTCCGATTGATCAATGTGCAAAAGACTTATTTATTCGCGTATAATACGCACTCGTGTGTTATATGCACCCTTAATTATGGGCAATTAAAATATTGAAAAATATATCTGTCGTATATAAACATTTCAGGCTGTCAGCATAAACCATGAAATATATCTTTCAACTCTGTTTTTTCACCAAAATAATATTCAAACAAGAGCCCCCTATTTCTAATTTTGAGAGCGCCCTGGGTGCTTATTACGTCGAATACGGTAATGATTTTCTAAAATCAAGCAGTTACTGACAACATAACAATGAATGCCAGTAAACGAACATAATGTTTCTAGGAAAGGGGTCTTGAACCTCAGACAGCAGTGACCAGGCTGCCTGCCATGTTGTAGGACACATAATGCGAATGTGACTGTCCTGGCAATGAATGGCCTTAATGGACATACCTTCAATGAATGCCTACATTGACATACCTTCAATGAACGCCTTCATGGACATATTTTCAATGAACGCCTTCATGGACATATTTTCAATGGATGCCTACATGGACATATTTTCAATGGACGCCTTCATGGACATATTTTCAATGGATGCCTACATGGACATATTTTCAATGGACCCCTTCATGGACATATTTTCAATGGACGCCTGCATGGACATATTTTCAATGGACCCCTTCATGGACATATTTTCAATGGACGCCTGCATGGACATATTTTCCATGGACTCCTTCATGGACATATTTTCAATGGACGCCTGCATGGACATATTTTCAATGGATGCCTTCATGGACATATTTTCAATGGACGCCTACATGGACATATTTTCAATGGATGCCTTCATGGACATACCTGGTTTCTGAGTAGTTCCTCTGCATCAGACATCCAAGTTGTAAACGTATCAATGTGTCGTCTCTTCTCCTCTAACTCCTTCTCTAACTTATTGATCTACAACAACAAACAAATGCATTGAAACATTTAGCACACATCCATTCATTTACAGCGTAGCAGTTTATTAATGTATACAAAATACCTTTATGAAAATACCATACATACATCCTACTGATGGAAAGTGATTCTTGAAACCAGAGCATTACTCTCTATGTATTGCATCGGAATGTTAAGAAAGAAGAATTAAAGTAGAGTAATTATTCCACAATGACTTTTTACTTAGGGAAATCATATTATTTCCTGTCTGTAGTTTCAATGACCTATAGCTAACAATGCTGAAGAATGTTACATGTTCAGCTGAACAGATTTACAATAGTTTTGCCGTAATTTGCATCAGTTTGACAACCGTTTTGCATCAGTTTGACATCGGTTTTGCACCAACTGTGCATCAGTTTGACATCGGTTTTGCACCAACTGTGCATCAGTTTGACATCGGTTTTGCACCAATTTTGCATCACTTTTGCACCATTTTGGCATCAATTTGACAACAGTTTGCACCGATTTTGCATTGGTTTTGCACCGATTTTGCATCAGTTTGGCATTGACTTTGCATCAAGAAGATGAAGGCAAGCAACATTGGTCAGGCACCAGAACTCTATACTTTGTAATGCATTTAACTGCAGGAGACCGAAATGAACCCCAAATTTGCCCGTGGTCCATCAGAATCATGTTTTACAAAAGTAAAAAATGGTCTACAACCTGCCTCATTGGGCTTTCCCAGTTATCATGCCACTTGAGGACACTCTCTGACCAATGTTAACTTGGAGCACTGCGCAAATGAGTGTTAGTTGAAGCAAGTCTTCACTTTACGGTTGGTCAATTACCAGTGTGACAAGGAATCCTCCATTAAATACTCAAACTACCCTTAAACCATCATGTAAAATGAAGATGTGCTTCAAGCTTAGCTGTTATGCAGTGACTAGAATATCTACATGTTCAGTACATACCTAAAATTGTCTTATATATTTCTACAGCTACACTGTGCTGTGTCTTTACATCGTAAACAGATGGATTTACTAACTACTCCATAATACATAAATCACAGAACTGATACAGTGTTACATTGGTATAAAGGTTTATACAAAAGATGAAATATGTACATGGAAATAAATCTACATGCATTTTGATGACTACTTTGTGATTAAAAAATTATGAAAAATGAAATGTGATAATTCCAACACCAGTGAGATAAAACTGAATTGATGAAATGAAATACTCCATATGAAAATAACTGAAATAAAGACATTGACCACTGAATCTTGCTGTTCTGACAACAATAATTTGTTTAGGCTATGCGTCCCGCCTCCAGGGTGCCGTTGCTATTGGAGCAGCTAATCAGTACTTTGCTGAGCATCACTTAAGCATTTTGTATATTTCAACTTCATTGTTATAATTTATTCAAAAGGAAGAAAAAAAAAATGATTGTGACAAATTCAAAATTATAAAATTGTCCTTGTTTAAAAGGACATGCCTTTAAAACTGCACATTAATATAGGTTACACAACATCAGCAAACTAATGATTAGGCAAAGGGTAAAATGGAAAGCAATGCATCTTGGTCCTAGCTAAGGCCAGTATGTCGCAAGTAGGCCGAGTATGTGTGTCCGCATTCCGCCCAAAAATGGAGAACAAAAGAAAATACCCCGAACCTTTGGTGTTGGACTGGAACTGAAACTGAAGTGTCGTGCGCCACACTTTCCCGTCACTTACCCGCTGGCGACGGCGTGTGGCCGGTGGGGGCTGGTGACCAGAACACAAGCTCAGTATCTCATGACAACCTCATCTTTATACGATGGCTATTCGCTGGGTTCACTCCGTGGAGACTAATGATTTGTACAGGATTCTACAGTTTCTGGGCCACATCATTCTTGGGTGTCCATAGTTATATGATAATGATAGTTTATACGTTTTGATGACTACTTGGAGAATCTAGTGTTTGAAAGGCACTTAGAGTGAGTGAGTGAATGTGTTTGTTTAACGCCGCTTTTAACAGTATTCCAGTTATATCACGGCGTGTCAGCTTAATGTGGGAGGAAAGCCCGAAGTGATGCCCGTCTCAGACGTTTACCACTTCGCTGAAACCCATGAGCACAAGTACGGTGCTGACAAACCAAGAAACATAATCGGGGCCAACCGGGATTCGAACCCACAAACATAGGTTTCTGGCGTGCCCAAGAGACGCAACTCTGCACAGCAAATCGCAGCGCCTTAGACGACTAGGTCACCCGGGCCACCGATAGGCACTTAGAAGTCAGAAGAACATAAAGACATGAAACTTTTATGGAAAACAACTTCATTATCGCTTGAAAAGACTTTCAGGGCTACTAATTGCTCCTTCAGCAGGTGACTATATATCTGGACAATGATGACATGAGCTCTCAGCCTTGAACACAAGCTTACTAACTTGCCTGTTGTGAGATGTTTATACAAAGCATAAAAACTGCATAGAATGACTATTTGAAGAATGATAATTTCTATACCACATATCATCAGCCAAGCAAGTAAAAGTAGTCTTCTAGTAGGCATGGCATAATGTTTTTTCAGTTTATGGAAGCATAAACGCAAAAATAATTGCATGGTTGGCCAATCAAATGACAGAGAATCACATGTTATTTATTTCCTTACATGCGAGATGAACCAAAGGGCTATGATGATGATAAGGTGGAAAAACATGGTGACAAATTCTGATGATAACATAATCGACAGCAAAATTGCTTTTAATTAAAAAACAAATGGTTAATCGGCCAAGGATAATCGTCTGCTTGAAGGGCTAAAAATTCAACATGTAATCCAAGGCACATAAGTGATAATGAATACTGTTTCATTGAAATACAAATTTGACATAATTTGAAATATCATGAAACTTACTTCATCTTTGACATTCTTATTCTCCTTCTCTATGATTTCAATGTGTCGTGGTTTTTCTAGAGCCTGAAAGGAAAATAACACGCATCAATACAGATACAGTAAAACAGAATTAGTAGACAACAGAAAAAACAAAGACATACAGTTGATCTACGCACATATGTTCGTAAACATACCAAAATGTAATCAAAAGATTTTTCCATTTGCCACGGCAGTCAAGGACAAGCCATCAAACACGTCACGTGAAAGACCCCTCTTATAAGTGCAGATGGCTGCTTCGATGATTTTAGCTGAATGCCACTTTGTCTGTTTGTTGTTAAATGCCGCAGTCAGCAGTATATCCACCTCTATGACGGCGTTCTGTATATGATCGAGTCTGGACCAGACAATCCTGTCATTGACATCATGAACATTGATCCATTTAATTGGGATACAATGACATGCATAAACCAAGTCAGTGAGCCTGACCAAATGTTCCAGTTAGTCGCCTCTTACAACAAGCATAGTCGGCTTATGATAATGTATGAAAATCAGAACCTACAACTGTGTCTGAAGGTGGCACCTCATGTTACCTTTTGTTTCCAAGAAAACACACTATCTTCCTCATCAGTCCTACTTTCAGCTCCCGAGCTCTTGGACTGAAATACATTTATCCCATATGGTGTAAATATGGTTAACACAAACAGGACTGAGAACCAGTTACAATAGCAAACTTGGAAATTTCAGTCTGAACAACAGAAAACCACCAAACCACAAATATTACATTGGGTAAAGATTCTTACTTTTCTTCTCCATTCAGAACTCCCTGTTTACATTCATTTTCACTATACATACATCAGATATGCTTATTGCGAGGAATTAGAAGACTCGAAGGTGATTGGCTGAATAGACAGGTCCCCTGAGGTAATCTCCTATTGAGGGTTTGTCACATCTTTCCAGAGGGAGATATCAGAAGAGATTTATTTTATCTATGTTTGAGAACCCACCTGCAATTGTCTCTCAAGCTGTGCTATCCTGTCTCTGATGACTGACCCCCGGGACATCGAGAACATCGACCCTGTTCCCAGGGTGCCCTGCCCACTGTCGGCAACACTCTCGGCCGACACTGTTCGTGTAACCTGGGCAGACACTGGGGGTGCTGTTTGCTGGTGAGGGACACGCTGACCTCCTGACCTCTGAGTCTCATCAGCGCTGGTGTTCAACTCTGAGCTCGGTAGGTAGTAGGATTTCTCTGCGAAATTTCCCACCTTTTGTGGCAAAGATGGTGGAAGCGATTTTGGCAAAGGCGGAGCATGCGATTCAAAGCTAGCATCCTTCGATGCTCTAGCTCGGTGCAGCTGAGGGCTTGACCTATTGGAATCTGTGTCATTCTGTGATCGGTAATGGCTGTGCTCACTCTCCGAGTTAAGGGTGAGACCTATCATCAATTCCTCCTGACTGTCTGTGTTTTTTCTGGGGGAGGTGGAAGGAACAGTCTTGGCAACACTCTTCCAGTTACCAGACATATCGGCTTTCTTCTCCAGCCGTGGTTTCTTAGATTCAATTCTCTTCCACTGCTCCTCCATCACAGACTCTGCATCACTAGATTCAAGATGGCCGCCTCGGCCATCTTGAGAAGCAGAAACACGAGGGCGAGTGTATACTCTGCTTCCTTGCACCTGTAAAACACAAAACAAAACATTGTCAAAAAAATATACCACATTTCATCAAACGAAAATAGAAGAATCATCATAATACATATTTACATGATTGTGTAAAACAATATTACATTTGTCATTTGAATTTCATAAATTATTATTAAGACAACAATGGGTGTACTTTTGAACTGTGTAGAAATACTATATATATCCATCTTCATAAAACTACGAATACATATCTGACAGGTCGCTTCCAAGAGAAACCCAACGATCAAGACAGACATTCTACCACCAAATACACCACGTGTTTCAAGTGCCAGTCCCAAGACAGAAAGGGGATTCAGTACAACTACTTTCAGGAGATAGTGCCACCATCTGACTTTGAATCTAAGAAATGTCAAATATATCAACATTTGGATTTTGAAAAATAAAAATGTTAATCTACCCTTTCCACGGAGAAGTGCAAGTAATCTTTTTCTAATATTGACAAAGTGACCTTATCTGACTCTTAAAGTCTAACCAACATAAACAAAACAATGTTAATTCTTTTCAGTAGTCATCTGTGTAAAATTATGCAGGAAAACAATCAAACCAATCAATCACTTTTGAATGTAAAAACTTATAAATTGCAATTCTCTTTTTCAAGTACAGTATGAATTTTACATCCTACACAATACATTTATTAAATTAATAAAGAAACTCCAAATTTATGTGTGAAGGTCACCCTGACACAATTAATTCATTCTATGAAGTCAGTTCTAAACCGAAGATCTGCATTCAGGGGAGGTAAACTCAGAATCCAAGGGGAGACAACTGCATATACCTTGACTGGATGCAGGGCTAATATTGCTCCATCAAGCACCACCAGTTTGCACTCGAGGTGAGCAAAGCTCTGAATCCAAATTCATAACAAATCTGTTAAACAATTTTTGTCATCGCAATGGAAAATGAAATGGTTGGCATGATAATGTGAGTTCTGCAGCCTTTTCAATAACAAATGGCGCATGTTGGCTGCCTACAAATGCGGGAGCTTCAAAGACCTGGAGAGTTGACCAATATGACAATGTGTTTTGTTTGGTTTGGGCGCTGAACAAACATGTAAAGGATGGAGTATGATAAGGAGTCGGACTTCATGACTGATGAAATGAGGAAACCTCACAATGTCTGCTGGTACGATTTTGCGATTTTATTGACATTTTAAGTCAAACTATCGTCAGTGTGATGGGATGAAGTCAAGAATCTAGACAAAATTGCAAACCATCAAATACTGTATTCGACGTAATAAGCGCCCTGCTCTTATAAGTGATATTTGCTAATATATTGGCTAGTGAACAATCCCAATTAGCACCCCTTCCAATTGATCAATGTACAAAAGACTTATTTATTCGCATATAATACGCACTCGTGTGTTTTATGCACCCTTAATTATGGGCAATTAAATTCTGGAAAAATATATCTGTTGTATATAAACATTTCAGGCTGTCAGCATAAACCACAAAATTTAACTTTCAACTGTTATTGTTTTTTTCACCAAAATAATATTCTAATAAGAGCCCCCTATTTCTAATTTTGAGAGCGCCCTGGGCGTTTGTTACATCAAATATGGTACATGGAGTAACATACCAAACAAGGAGTGAGTTAAGTCCAATTTTACGCAAGGTTGCATATTGCTTACGGCAAAATGATACAAGAGTAGCGCAGCAATGTTGTTTTAACCTCGACACACAGCACTGAAACCTTGTTTCGTGACGTCCTAGCACTGTATAACCTCATCAGGGAAATACGTATATGGGCACATATTTATCCATTTGCTTCAAAATAAGGACACTAACACATAGGAATGATGTTTTCTTGTAGCTTAACGGATTATTGTAGAATGAACCTTCACAGAGTAAGACGAAAACTGTCTGAATGTCAAAGTTTGTGACCATTATATTTGTAGAAGCCCTGCACTATTAAGCATTGCTATTTATGCCTACTCTCACCAAGTCCCAAACTGCTTCTCCATGGCGGACATATTGTGCCCGTAACAAAATCTGACCTTTGATTCCTAAAATACTGATCCTGACTAATGTCCAGCATGATAGTCAGCATTAGAAATTGGCACGAGCCCTGTAGTCCTTACCAAGCTGCCCCAATAGTAAAGGTATCCTAAGGACTAGTAGAAATTGGCCCATTTTAGGGGTTTTGTTCTATGTTATCATTATAAGGACTAGCGGACAAAAACTGTTAGTTTCTAACCCTGAAGGTCCAGCCCTGTTCTGACCATACCACACAACTGTCCCCAAGTTCCTTCTCAAAGGCAGACATATTGCGACTGTGATATATCAAGCTGTAGCTCACCTGATGCATATTTTCTTCATCAACACTGCTGAGGTCTGAGGGCACCTGATCCTCAGCATGCATGGCCTGGGGTTGCGCTGCTGCTGACCCCACTGGCCTGGTCAAGCCTCTCATTGTCTGCATAACCCTCTCTGACTCCAAGGACTGAAGACCTCGGGCTGGGAGGTTCTCACTGGATGAGCCCTGAACAGATGGGTCTGGAACAGAAAGATACCGTGAGGTGAGGTGAGGTTGGTGAAAGGTTTTCTTATATCACATTCAAGAGGTGAAATGGGGCTAAACTGAAAATGGAAATGGGACTGTTGCTCATGCTGTCAACCACTAGTTCTCTGGTCAAGATTTGGTTATTTAGAAGCCACCTTCCCACAGCTGTAATATTGCCGACTCAGGTGTAAAATAGCTAGAGTAACTGAAATATTTGTCTCACAACTTGATCTTCTCACAATTATCAGAATATTATTTTGGTATTAGGACTATTTACAGCCTGCAATGAAAGTTGAAATATTTCAGACTGGCGTGAAAATAGTAAAAGTCATTCAGAGTACAGTCACAAATTTCACAACCACAACATGTACAAGTACTTAAGTCTGACAAACTGTGGCACAATGACACGCTATCAACCAGGGAACCGTTCCACAAAGCATTCTTAGCGATGAGACTGCCGTGAGTCTATGTTGAAGTATGGGAGTTCAAGCGATCATCTTAGCGCTTTGTAAATAATCGAGTCTGGACCAGTCAATTCAGTGATTAATATCATGAGTATCGATCCACGCAATTGGGATCGATGACATGCATCAACCAAGTCAGCGAGCCTGACCACCCAATCCCGTTAGTCGCCTCTTACGACAAACATAGTTTACGGCAAGTATGGGTTGCTGAAGACCTATTCATCCCCGGATCTTCACGGGTCCCCTGGTCACAAGCAAGGTGCTAGAGCTACACAGTACCCTAGAGTCACCACACTTCCATACATAAATACAGTCACCGACTACTCATCATCCAAGCGGTGATGTACCTCCATCATCCTAAAGGAAGGGATGTTGGACTGCATCATTTTTAATGTACACACGAAATAGACATAAACTATACAAACCCATGACAGAAGAAACTTCACACATTTTCCACATGTAGTATTCCAAATCAAAGACTCCTATTCATGTATCACACCGACTGAAATGTTTATCACATGAGTGTTCCGTATCCAATAGTTCCTTGGGAAACCATCTGTGCAGCTTTCTATACATTACACACTGTATCACGCCAACACCTTACAAGTATTGATCCTGTCCTACTGAACATGCTTCCAAACATGGAATTAAATCATTGGCTTGAAATATATCTTCCTGCTTTTGAGATGGTGATTTCAGCCATGGGTTCAACACAGACATAATAACCTGCACCATTCATAGTTCCCTGCACAGCCCTGATCAATATGGCTACTCGCTGTCACGCCTATACTTATAAACACGCCTGTTCTATTAACCCTTTAACTGATCAAAACCAATCACTTGGAAATTATGAAAATATGTAGCAGTGTGTTTGTTTTTTAACACCCACTCAGCAATATTCCAGCTGCATGACATCAGCCAATAAATAATCTAGTCTCGACCAGGCAACTGGTGATTGATATTATGAGCATTGACCAATACCGCCAGGATACGATGACACACCATCAACCAAATCACCAAGCCTGACAACATGATCAGTTAAGTCACCTCTTATGAGAAGCACAGTCGCAAGAAGTAATTCAAACTAATAATCACACAGAAAGTAAAATTCATATCTAGACAGATCACGTATATGCCTTGAATAAAGTTAAAGTTAAGTTCGTGTAAATTCTAAGGTAAATTACTCTTTTTCAATGTGTCTGGAACTAACTATTTCCAGGCACACAACCACCCCCCACCCCAACACAATCCCTCCCTTAAATTGTTTGATAGGCATTACTTACAAGTTGACGGATGACAAGGTAGACACAATTTTATGGATAACAACTTCTTTAATACTCTAAAAAGCGACGTTGCGGTATAGATCCTTATACCGTTGTCAAGGAAGACTGAATAAGGGGGGAAAAATCTTCTCCAGTCGAGTAAGGCTGTTGATGGTGTTGATTGCCACGTCCCTCATTCAGTCTTGCTTGACAACGGTATAAGGATCTATACCGAAACGTCACTTATTACAGTATTAAAGAAGTTATCCATAAAATTGTGTCTACCTTGTAATCCCTCCCTTGTCAAAAGATAACCTGTATCAAATGGTCAGTTCATAACAAGATCCCTTGCCACAGCAATAACAAGCAGGCAACTATTTCAAGCACTCCACGGTGTTATTGATTTTCCTGGCCCCGGAAGGGTTAATCCCACCTGTTGCTCTAGCCTACAGTGACAGCTTGAGACATATCGACTCCAGACTGATCACGTTTCATAATACCGAGTTCAATACATCGCTTAACGTCTCCTCACACAACCAGGTTGGACTGATTTAGCGGCCACAGATACATCGTTGTCAGCTGGCATTATCCCTAGATCACCCATGCAGCAATACAACGCTGTGTCTGACAGTTTCACAGGTGAATTGTTTAAAGGCAGTTAATCTGTATGTTTGTTTGTTTTAATTTCATGCTGACAACTCAAATGCTTCAGAATACAAACATCAAACGGTTTGGTTATCATTTCCTACTTGAATAAATAATATTTTGATGTAATTAGTGAATTTAATGATGTTTTTGACACTAATGAGACCATGACATTTATGTCAACAAATACAGTTCCCAGCGAGATAAACAAAAGCTCTTCAACCCTTCACAGTAAGTGGTCCAGTACAAATCAGAAACAAGGTAATGTTTAGTACTAAATACTAACATAATAAACAGGTGAGGTGAGGTGAGGACTCTCTACCATTAGACCACGGAGGCGGTCAACATAATAAACAGACTATTACATGTGGGAACATGCAGTGCTGCAAAATAGAATGTCACGCTTCACATTCTGAGTTCTCGCCTCACCTCAAAACAGATACGTAACTGTTACACAGAAACTGAATGTGATGAAATATACTGAACAAGAAAAGTTACTGATCATGAATTTGGGGGATATTTTTTCCGCAGTGAAGACTGAGTGAGTGAGTGAGGGTGAGTATGGTTTTAGGCCGCTTATAGCAGTTTTCCAGCAATATCACGGTGGGGGACACCAGAAATGGGCTTTTACCCATGTCGGGAATCGAACCTGGGTCATCGGCGTGATGAGCGAACGCATTAACCACTAGGCTACCCGACCGCCCCGCAGTGAAGACTGAGTTTCCCTAAATGTGTATGGTATATAGACGTCTAATAATAGTTTATGATCCCTAACCTATTTTTTGTTCAGTATACATATTTAACACTCCACACCATCAAGATAAAAATTCAAATCTAGACTGGAAAACATGTGGTCGATAGTATGAGCACACTGACAAACCAAATGACACACTTAAACCAGTTGTCATTAATCAATTCTTATAACAAGCATGAGGTACTTGGGACATGTTCTTCCATAGAATTCAATGCCATTAAAAGACTCCCACTATTTGACCAAGCTGTGAAGTGAACATAGGAGGCATGCCGGGATGTCTTATGACAGAGAGAAGTCCGTTCCACTCACCTGAATCAGGGTTCAACAAAGAGGGCACCTGCTCTGGCGGCAGGATTTGTTTGAGACGCTGCAAGATGTTCTCGTAGGATTCGATCCTCCTCCTACATACATCCAGCTCCACCTCATGACCACACGAACCCTGAAACATGATAACACACGCTATAACTGAAATAATTAGAACCCTGAAACATGATAACACACGCTATAACTGAAATAATTAGAACCCTGAAACATGATAACACATGCTATAACTGAAATAATTAGAACCCTGAAACATGATAACACACACTATAATCTATATAATTAGAACCCTGAAACATGATAACACACGCTATAACTGAAATAATTAGAACCCTGAAACATGATAACACCTGCTATAACTGAAATAATTAGAACCCTGAAACATGATTACACGCGCTATAACCTGAATAATTAGAACCCTGAAACATGATAACATGCGTTGTAACCTAAATAATTAGAACCCTGAAACATGATAACAGGTGCTATAACTGAAATAATTAGAACCCTGAAACATGATAACACACACTATAACCGAAATAATTACAACCCTGAAACATGATAACACACACTATAACCTAAATAATTAGAACCCTGAAACATGATAACACACACTATAATCTATATAATTAGAACCCTGAAACATGATAACACACGCTATAATCTATATAATTAGAACCCTGAAACATGATAACCAAACTGCAACCCAGGTAATTAGAAGTCTGAAACACAACAACTATTCCCCATGAATCCTGAAACATATGTTTTGTTCGCTTGTTGTACAACGCCGATGTCTGTGACGTACCTTGCCCTGTCTGAGCTGTGCGACGGTGTCTCGGAGATGAGAAACGAGTTTCTCTGTCTCAGACAACTGACGCTCAGATTCTTCGAGCAAAACCATCTTTGCCTGCACTTGTGCCAACTCCATTTTCGGCACTTTCACTATGGCTCCGTCATCATCATCATCCGAAAACTTGGCAGTCTGCTTGAGCTGATTCTGAAGGACCACGATCCTCTTATGACACTCATCCAGAGTGCGAGGGAGTTTCTCCCGGGACACTCCATCGAGAGACTGAAACACAAGGTCAGTACACTCAGTGCTTACACGTAACCATCCACAACACTGCTCACAATCAGTGCTCCCTCCTAGTTCTCAAAAGAAAGATTAGTGTCTTCTGCCCTAATGATCACACAAGGAAATATCAGAGTAAGAAGCTGAAGGACAAGTCATCTTTTTGTGCCCTATATGATGCACACTGTATATAATCACACAAGGAAGACACACTTCTCTACTTCTGGACGCAGGTTCAAAAGATTCTTACTGCATCGATAAGATTATTACTGAAAACATAAACCTCAAGCTTTTCTAAGGGTCTTCATGATAAACAGGAAGGTAAATAAACTGTATCATACAGTGAACAATATCAAAGAACTCAGCTTCAAGATCATAAAAACCGGTCAACAAACATGTCAAGTTTACACTCTTGCATAGTTTTACTTGCTAAATTCACACTTTAACTACAGAAAAATATACCAATGAAGTCAACAATACAGATCTGGACACTCTAACATCCTGATGGTAATCATAACGGTGTGAAACAAGCTTGAGAACATCTGCAGACATTGGCCAAAACACTATGATGACGGAATAAAAACAAATATGAAACTGTGAAATGTTCATTCAAGTCACAGAAATAATCAATTCATGTCTTTTCTGTATTTGTTCTAATCTGACATAGATATTGATGCATATCGAGATGACTCAAGCTGGCATCATCCTGTCCTTATGAAGACCTTATCTCTAGAAAGCCAATTAGATGTTCCCTGCCAAAGCAACTCTGTACTCAAAAGATCATGCAGCAGAACAGAGCAATATGAGGATTGACTTCAATGTCATTAGTTAAGCCCAATAGTAAGGTTCTCTGGTGTCTCACCTGTTTGCCAGTGCTCTCCAGCTCCTGTATTCTGTACTTGAGTTTGTTCTCACTCCGATGCAGATTACTGATCCGGTCCTTCATAATAGCCTCAGTCTGCTCAAGTTGTCTCACTTTGGCTTGAGAGTCTATATCTCGCAACTCAAACTCCTTCAAACGTTTTTGCAACACAACCTCGTTCTTCTCTGAACTCTCCACCTGTTGTTTCAAACTGAGTTCTGAGTCTTTGGCTACAAGAAGCTGTCTATTGAGCTCTTGCACATTGCCCTGAATTCCCTGGATGTGATTGTACAGGACAGCATTCTCCTCCACGGCTCTCTGCAGCCGCGTGGACATGTCCATATTCATCATGTCTAGTTCGGATATCTTACTATTAGCTGCTGCCTCAGAGTTCTCTAACACCATTAACTTGTTCTGAAGACTCACTTCCACATTTTCATAATTCTTCACCTTCTCGTACAGAGCTGTCTCAGAGCTTTCCAACTCTTGACACCGAAGCCGAAGATATTCTGACTTCTGCGCTAGAGTCATCTTCTCTGTGGCAAGCTCCTCCAGCCTCTTTCTGAGATTAACCTCTGAAGCAGCAAGCTCTTCTACAGTCATTTCCATGTTTTCGGATTTTGCAATCCATAATTCCTCATCCAGTTTTAATTTCTTGACAAGTTCGCGGAGCCTCCTCTCATGGATCTGCAGGAGATGAGTCTGGTCCTCCATCTTGGAATTCTGAGAGTCCAGATCTTCACACTTTCGGTACAGTTCCGTCTCTGCAGCCTCCATCTTCTCCACCTGCTCCCGGAGCACCTTCTCCGACAGTTGCAGCTCCCGGTTGCGGACATTCTGATCATGGATGGTGGCTTTGTCCCTCCGTGCTATCTCATGGAGTTCCTCTCTGTCAGCTTCCAGTTCTGATATCTGTCCACAAAAACGTTCCAGCAAATGACCCAAATATTATCTTAACTACTTCGGAAATTCATTTTTGAGTTTTTATTTAATATCACACTCAGCAATATTACAGCAATATGACAACAGTCTGTAAATAATGGACCAGACAATCCAGTGATTGACAAACCTGAGCACTGATCCAAGTATTTGGGATACAATGACATGGAATCAAACAAGTCACCGAGACTGACAATGTGATCCATTACGACAAGCATTGCTGGCTGGGGACTGCTTTTCTTACCTGAAATCTCCATGGGTACAATAGAATGGAAACTGGGGTGATAGGAAATATTGTTCAAAACTGTCTTAAACCCATCTCACTCACTCACCTGTTCTCTGTGATGCTTGTCAAGCTTCTCCAGCTCACGGATCTGCTGAAGCAGGACATCCTCTGGTTTGTCCAACATGGTGTCTGCTGTCTCCGTGGCAACAGGTGCTGCCACCTGGCTGGTCTCCAGACGCTCAACTTTCCTCTTCAGAGATTTCTCTGACTGCTCAAGTTGGTCCACCTTTCGGGACAGATCCTGATTCTTGGCATCTTGTTCCAGTCTCTCTATCTGCTGCTTCAAATGTTCTTCACGTTTCTTCAAGGTATCAATTTTATGGAAGAATTCCGCATGGTTTCCATCACACTTCGATGCTGGTACGGATGCTGGTCGGGCTGACCTATCAGAGTGTTTTAATTTTTTCCTAAGATCATCTTCTACAAGTTGAAGGTCAACGACCTTTTGTTTAAGTCTTGCTTCTGATGCTTGGAGTTCAATGACCTGGTGCCTGAGTTTTTCAACACCAATTGGGCTAACTTCAGATCTGAAAGAGAAAAAGATAATAATGAGTTCTTAATCTACATTAATTTCAAAAGCAAGAAGAGTATGAAAACAGAATTCTTTTGTGGAACAGACATGGCAAAGTTGAGAGTGATCTTGTAGTCAATTCCTAAAATGATTACACATAAATCATCACAGACCTGAAGCATATTCAGTGTTCAGAAAAGATACATTAGGACAATTTACAGATAATAGCAAGAATCAATTGAGTGAGTTTGGTTAACCACTGTCAACAGTCTTTCAATTCATCACAGTGTGTCACCTCTATGTGGAAGGAAGCCCAAAGTGACTTAGACGTTTACCACATTGTGAAAGCCATGAGCACAGGTATGACATATCTCGAAGTTAGACATGATAATTAGAATCCATGTGACTCAATAATTCAGTTATATTTCCACTGCATCAAGGTAGTCTGTAAATTATCATGGCTAGACCAAGCCATGAGTGGTTGATGGCAATATCAACCATTAATGATGTCGGCACAATGACACAAGAACAGCTATGTCACACACTGTATTAATCCTACCGTATTGAGTAGACTCAACAAACATGGAGGGCTATTCTGCCCCATAAAGAAGATGGACAATCATATAAATGCATCATTTGTTAAATTCCCAATATAGCTGAAACATTGCTGAACTGACTTAACTGTTAACTCATTCACACATAAAGCCCCATGAAGTCAGTGTCACACAACATAGACATGCCTTACATTATAAGAAACACAATCAGACCATTACTCAATCAATACACCATTCCTACTGACCATAAGTGAAAAAAGATTCATCAATAATAGCTGACAGCGCTTCCAACATACACCAGATGATGTTTACTGACATGTCCCCATTAACTGTGACATGACATCGATGAGCATACACCATCAAACCTCTCCATCCATCAGTTAATCAAGAGTCTGACGAGAGGACATTCGGGCAGGAAATTCATTAGGTACTACAATCAAACTACCAGAGTTGATTACTCCAGGTGGAAAACTATGTCGTGATGCATCAATAATGAACTAGCCAGCAGACAGGAGGCACTCCCAGCCTTGATCAACCAACAGATACTCCAGTGAACACTCTGTCCCCACAGAACTTTGTACGGACAGAGATCACTTTTGTAGTCCAGTGGATGGAGCGGCTGCACCTACAGCAGGAGCTCATTGCTTTGATCCCTGGCTGTGTCATATCAAAAGGCAATTTAAAGTTGATACTTGTTTCCCTGTCTGGTGCTCAGCATTAAGGGGCTTAAAACAAGGACTGGTCAGCTCAGAGTCAGTATACTGTGTCTGAGTAGAGTATCCATGTTAAAATGCGGCATTGAATCTCAGTGGGCTAACCCGATAAAACTGGCAATAGTCCAGTGAATGAGTGAGTGAGTATGGTTTTACACCGCTTTTAGCAATATTTCATCAATATGCAGTCTAGACTGTTACGCATGTGAGTGCATAGATGTGAAAGACCCTGTTGGGATTCACTTAATGTCTGCCACATCAATAAATTGTTGCCAGGCAACTGTGACAATAGTGTTCTATTCTCATTTCCTGCAACTTCAAACCAATTTATCAACAGTCGTGTCTGTAATAGATGCAATGTCCAATATCATGTGTCCATAATTATGTGCATCATTCCCACAATCACTGCTGTTATAACAATTAGGTAATACACTCATATTTTATCAGCTACAACCCTTGGGATTCAGGTTAGAATTGGTCTTGACCAATCTTTGCTCGTCGTAAGAGGCGACTTAATGGATTGGATGATGGGCTTGTTGACTTGGTTGATTGTGTGTCAATGTACCTGATGTTGTGCATCATAGATCATAATATCAATAACTGGATTGTCTGGTCCAGACTTGGTTATTTACAGGCCGCAACCACAGAGCTGGAATATTGTTGTGTGCGATGTTAAACAACAGAAACACACGGACACACAGACACAGACATGCACGCACGCACGCACATTCAGTGCCTAGCCATTTAAGAATTGACTTTCACTTTGTGTGAGCTCATTTGAGTAAACTTATGTCACATACACAGTGAAGTAAATTCAGATTGTTGACAATCGCTGTCAGTCTTGGCACGGATTAAGTCAATAGTTTTGGTATGCATTTCTTTGTTTTGTTCTCTAGGCAGGGTTGAAGTGAAGATATCAGATCACAGGCATGCAGTCGAACACTGCCTTTTTCTTACGCAAAAACTCAAGATTAAAGTGTCTAAATAATCAGAAACAAAGTTTCTGTATTTTATTTGTCTCGGGAATTCCAAGAGGAATGTGGAAGTAGTCTGTCAGTGTTTGTCATTTCAAGAATACAGTCTCATGACAAAGGTATCACTATCAAAATGTGTCATTCATTCACTTCGTATAAGTTTTGTGACCTGCCTCTTGTCCAATCGAAAAGCAGCATATCACATAAACATCACATTAAATATCATCATAATAAACCACATGGCATCACATAAAGTAAAAATGTGGTCGTTAATAAATGACAAGCCTTACAAGCAAACCAACAATACACAGTATTGCCAAAATAAACTGGATATTTTTTTACCTACACATGTAACTTGACATTAAATAAGATTCAACCGATATATCCAATAAATACGGACCTTTCATACTGGTAATTATCATTACTCTCCAAACACAAAACAAACATGATAAGAACACTGCTACAGAGCATCAATCTCTCCTCCACCATTGAACCAAGCACCTGAGATAAAAGGCATTGATTTATCATGGTTAACCACATCCGAAGGAGGTCAGCTTTAAGTGGTCCTCATAAAGAAATCAATGGAAAGTTACAAATGCCAACAAAGTCTCCGTCCTTTTAACGGACATACATTATAACTACCAGACAATGCAGTAACAGCATAGTAAACAAACACTACTATTGCATATTTGCATATTGCCAGCACTCGCTTATAACCAAACTACTTCCAGTGTTAACACAAGTTAATTAAGTCAATAATAGCAAGCATATTTTTGCTCCGTGAAGAGGATTGAAATAGGCTTATTGATCCAGTGGCTATCATTTGCAATAGTTAGATTATCAAGACTCAAAGTACATTTACAGTAAATCTCAATTAGTCAAGACTTTCGAAGATGAAACAAGCTGATATAAATTCTGTAAATAACCAAAAGAATAACGTGATTAAACAGGTCATTTGTTTAAAAAAACCATGTGACAGTATAATTAATGTTGTGTAAATCTACCAAGAAACAGAAACAAACCACATTTTGAAAACCTACCTCAAAACGAACCAGTTAATCCAAAATGATGCTTGTGACAAGTGACAAAATGATCACTGCACAGCATTTAGTAATCACAGCTCAAAATCATGTCACGTTTCCCTTGACTATTCACTCTTCAAAGCCGAGCATGACTGAATAATATGTTGAATGGCTAAGGAATGTGGAGATCCAAGATTCCCAAACAGGTAGAAACACGCGGACAGGTGTCTAACGACATCAAGTCAAGATCGTCAATTCGCTGAGATGATCTTACAATAGCCAGAGCAAACATCGCCTTCACCTGACCGACCTGTCTTTCCCGACAACACGGAACAAACACCACCAGAAGTCTTCTTGAAACGCTCGTTAAATCAAGTGGAACGAATGTATTGAAACCGACCCACATAGAGCTGTTATTGCGACCTTACACAGCATACCCACAGGGACTGTGACAGATTAATTCTGGGTATGATCCAAGATTATTCTGTCAATACAACCTGATACCCCTATCAGCAGATTGATCTATTCTGGTAATCTTTTAATCATCAGTTACCTGTGAAGATTGTTGTCATGGAGCTAGCTCATTATTCTGTATAGGGGAGACAGGTAGTGCAATTTAGGTCAAAGATCAGAACAGAAAGCTTAATGCATGAGAACAAATGAAGCAATCATTGTGACAGCAGATTACAACTCAATCCCAACACGAACCCTATAGAACTAAGATATATTTATCTAAGGACAAAGAAAAACAAAAAATATCTTATTTCTGTTACAAGCTAAAAACATAGGTTAAGTAAGAAAACAAAATGTTATCTTTTCTTCTAGGTCATTAGGCCAGGTGAGTTAGTTCTAAGGATAAGCCGATAAGCTGTGTTTTAGTTAAAGCTTACTCCCTCTAAAACCCTAGATCTTAGTATTAAAACATCAAACCTTTTATACACATGAACCCCCTTACTGCATGTCGCTACGTTTCAGGGGACAATTTCACAGAGCGATCTCAGCACTACGACTGTCATACCTCCAAACAAATAGACATAGATAGTGGTAGTACTGACATCGCATTGTGGAACAGTGCTATTGCTTGCACCGTGAAACTTTATATGGACAACAACTCTTTCATTGTTTCTCACATTTCACCCATTTCAAGGCCACTTCTCCGTTTGTCACCTGATGAAGGTGCAGGTAGCACTGAAACGTTGCTACTAACAACAAAGATGGTGTCATCCATAAAACCTTTCACGTCTTCATGTTCTACAAACTTCTCAAGGCCAAACAAGACTCCACTAGAGCTGTCAGTAGAGTTCAAAAATCTATAAGTCCGAGGTCACTGGCTTACGGGATCATACATTTGACCCACCCAAAAATTCATCAATAAAGCTGATGACTTGCCAAATATTGTTGCATCTTATGAGCATTTTTAGTTTTAGTTTTGCTTGTGTTACAGTATGTTTGTATAAACTTTGATTATAGTTTTCGGGAGGTAAGTTCCCTAAATTGTATAATATCAAGACTTCTTCAGTTACAAACTTTCCAGAAACCCAAAAATATTCTCAGGCAGTTCTAAATATCACAAATACCTTAAATAATCAACTAATATGATTTAGCATTATTTAGCTAAATCGGTTTATGGTCAGCTCCGCATAACCAATACTAGTAACTATTCCCATTTACCATTTTCCACCATTTGTTTACAAACATTCTCCTCTCACAAGACCCGCAAAAATACTCCCCATGGCAACATACGTCATTTCTCCCATGACGTCACTACACGTGGTCTCGTGACGTCACTACTTTTACTCCCCAACTGTCAAGTCATTCTAACAACACAACACAACGCGTCCGGCGGTTTGCATTTCACCTCTTTCCCCACCCTCCACCCCCAAATCACCCCAATTGTCAGGTTGCGCCTTCTTTCCACAGTGAACAACATTGTACAAAGTCTTATCAAGTTTATAAATGTATCGTTCTTATTGTTGTTATTCTATTTCAATAAATTTGGTACAGTGGGCATGGTGCAGTCGGGGGCTTTGGTTTAACACCATGCTGGTGGGTGTATGATACTCTGGCTGCCTGCTAATTACAGCGGGAGCCCAAATTCTTCTGCCTGCTGTTTCCGCGGGGGGAGTGACAGTATCTTTGCTGTGGGTCCTGTCTGCCAAGCACGGTGGAGGGACAACTTGACCCGCGATAGGGTCTGTATGCGATTTCTAGTCCGCGGTAGGACCTTGCTTATCGCCCCCGACTGCATCATCCACACTCTGCCCATTATATCCCACAAAACATCATTGTTTGTTAATCTTTTCATCTGAGGTAGTCTGAACATAACCCTAAATACCACAGTTAACCCCAAATAGCACAACTAACCCCAAATAGCACAGGTAACCCTAAATAGCACTGGTAACTCCAAATAGCACAGGTAACCCTAAATAGCACTGGTAACTCCAAATAGCACAGGTAACTCTAAATAGCACAGGTAACCCTAAATAGCACTGGTAACTCCAAATAGCGAAGGTAACCCTAAATACCACAGTTAACCCCAAATAGCACAACTAACCCCAAATAGCACAGGTAACTCCAAATAGCACAGGTAACTCTAAATAGCACAGGTAACCCTAAATAGCACTGGTAACTCCAAATAGCGAAGGTAACCCTAAATACCACAGTTAACCCCAAATAGCACAACTAACCCCAAATAGCACAGGTAACTCCAAATAGCACTGGTAACTCCAAATAGCACAGGTAACCCTAAATAGAACTGGTAACTCCAAATAGCGAAGGTAACCCTAAATAGCACTGGTAACTCCAAATAGCGAAGGTAACTCTAAATAGCACAGGTAACCCTTAACAGCACTGGTAACTCCAAATAGCGAAGGTAACTCTAAATAGCACAGGTAACTCCAAATAGCACAGGTAACTCTAAATAGCACAGGTAACCCTAAATAGCACAGGTAACCCTAAATAGCACTGGTAACTCTAAATAGCACAGGTAACCCTAAATAGCACTGGTAACTCCAAATAGCGAAGGTAACTCTAAATAGCACAGGTAACCCTAAATAGCACTGGTAACTCCAAATAGCAAAGGTAACTCTAAATAGCACAGGTAACCCTAAATAGCACTGGTAACTCCAAATAGCGAAGGTAACTCTAAATAGCACAGGTAACTCCAAATAGCACAGGTAACCCTAAATAGCACTGGTAACTCCAAATAGCGAAGGTAACTCTAAATAGCACAGGTAACCCTAAATAGCACTGGTAACTCCAAATAGCGAAGGTAACTCTAAATAGCACAGGTAACTCCAAATAGCACAGGTAACTCTAAATAGCACAGGTAACCCTAAATAGCACAGGTAACCCTAAATAGCACTGGTAACTCCAAATAGCGAAGGTAACTCTAAATAGCACAGGTAACCCTAAATAGCACTGGTAACTCCAAATAGCGAAGGTAACTCTAAATAGCACAGGTAACCCTAAATAGCACAGGTAACCCTAAATAGCACTGGTAACTCCAAATAGCGAAGGTAACTCTAAATAGCACAGGTAACCCTAAATAGCACTGGTAACTCCAAATAGCACAGGTAACTCCAAATAGCACAGGTAACTCCAAATAGCACAGGTAACTTTAAATACCACAGTTAACCCCAAACATCACAGGTAACCTCAAATATCACTGGTAACCCCAAATATCACAGGTAACACTACGATTGGAATATATAAAAGTAACACATGTATCAATTGAACCAGTATCACATGAAATATTATATTGCTGTTGGAAAATTAAATCAATAACACTTGTTCTATCAGATATCAATCTTGCTATGGATCATCCTCAAAGCGTGCACAGTGTTAACTGTCATGTCATGCAGCAACGTCAGCATCGTCAATATTGATTTTAATGTGATCTACCAATGCAATTTATGCAAAACTTTGGAGCGAGTCCTCCATCGTTACATACCGGGTATATTGAATTATATCAAGGACAATATTGATTTGAACAATGTATTAAATCTAGCGTACACTTGAGTGGTGAGCACCAGTATAGGACCTGCACACCGGGGGGGTCCTGCATACAATGTTCATCTCAGCACCTGTTCATCACAGCTGACAAAGAGCTCCTCTTCACACGTGGGATATGAACATGCCCACCAACTGCCCATTCACACACAACAATCAGCTATGTACTACACAATGCCCCTACCTGACGGTCTGTTCTCGGTGTTGTATTTCTGCCATCTTCCTTCGTAATTCCACTTCTAGATTTGAGATTTCTGCCATATGGTGTAGGGACACTGAAGGCGACATCTGCAAATCAACACAGATGGTTTAATAGCAACATCATAAAACATGCTTCAGCGTATCCTTTACATCTACAAAATAACTAAACAAGTAAATAATCAAAACAATGCCTCATTAAGTACCTGAAACTGTGCAAGACTTGGGTGCCGTTGTACAAAACAAACTTAGTGCTACGATTGTCGTAAGTCTATGTTAAGGTATGGGAGTTACGATCACCTTAGCGCTAAGATCTCTTTGTACAACAGCATCCTGGCCTTTGTTCCACCAAGCAATCTTAGCATTTAGACCATCTGTGAAAAAAATCACAACAGCTGCAGCAGTATGGTTTGACGGATCAAGTACCAAGACCCTGTTGGCGCCATGATTGACATGTCCGAACATCCCAACACAATCTCACAATGGTCACAGTGTTAGGACTGTATTGCGAAACTGAGCCCATATATAAAGCACTCTCACCATATTAACTACTGTAAGTCTATGATCAAAAGTCATGACATAACAGACTCATATGTAACCTATCAGTTATTATGTTAAATCATTATGATAAATGTATTACAATCTACATTGAAATGTAAGTACAACTGTAATAAAACACCATGACCTTGACCAGTTTGTTATTTAACACTACACTCAGCACTGCTCAGGCTATATGACAGTGACCTGTTAATAATCAAGTATGGACCAGACAATCAAGAGACTGATATTGAGCGCAGTGATCCATGCAATCACACGATCAACCATTGAGTCTGACCACCCTATCTGTTTGGTCGGATGAAGCCAGCATGGGTTGTTGGAGGCCAATTCTAATGCAGATCTTTACGGGGTTCGATGCCATTTGAGCAAAACAGCGATGAAAAACATTTATCTATTTCATGTGGACCAATTTTAACCAAGAATTCAAACAGATGTATGATTGTGATATAGTTTAACCAACAACAGAGTAAAAGTAAGTAAATGTCAATTCAAAATACTCACTGGTTTGGGTTTCATATGGAATGTATCTGTCGCCTTTTTCTCCCCCTCAACAATGAAATCCCTCAGGTTCGTGACTTCAGCCTTGAATGCTGTGATGTATTTCTCCAACTCCTCCACCTTCCTCCGTCCCTGCTCCTTCTCCTGCTCCAGCTTGTGCACCTTCTGCAGGAGCTCTTCACTAGAGGACTCCTTGGTCCCCGAGTACCGTGAACCTCCGTACTTCTTACTGGCTGGAGTCAGGTATAGTGTCGACGTTGAGGTAGAGGATGAACCATCCTTTAATTTGGCATTTTCTCTTTCGAGTTTACCAATAGTGTCTAATAGTTCCTTCTGCTTGGATTCTAAAGCGGTCACTTGACTTTGAACGTCTTTTTCCCTGAGAAATTGCACTGATTTGTTTGCACCAAATGGAAGAGGTTTTTTCAGAATGTCTTTACTACGAGGTGAGGCGGTGGCAAGGGAGGTGATTTTTGGCAAGACTGGGTGGTGGGTAGGACTTTTCTTCTTTGGGTCACCCTCTTCTCTGAGGGTCTTAACAGATTCACACAACTTTTCGTTGTCTTTTGTAAGACTGTCACATTTAAGCACAAGACTAGAATTTTCAGACTGAAGCACAATAACTCTGTCTTCAAGCTGTTTTGATTTATCACAGATTTCACTAATCTCACTTTGTAGAGTTTCTATTTGCTCTTGAAGTTTCTGTTCCTTTTGAACATTGGCATTGATAGCACTTTTCACATGTTTCTCACTCTGATCTGGAGACTGATTCTGAGACTGTACATCAGAGATCTTCTTCTCATACTCAGTCTGCACTTCTGCCAGCTGCACCTGAGTTGTCCTCAACTCCTTCTCCAAGTCCTTCAACACACTTGACTCATCCGTCATTGACTTCAGTAGCCGATCCTCAACACTGGCATATGTTTTTGACTGGTGATGTTGTTGGGAAACTGTTTCCTCCAAACTTTGCATTTTTTTCTCTAAGCTGATCTTTTTATCAGTGACAATTTCTACCATGTGACGTTCTTCCTGCAGCTGATTCTCAAGGTCCACAATTTGTGTTTGAAAGTCAATGACCTGACTCTGCAGGTCATTCATTTCATCCTCAACTGTCTTCTTCTCCTGTTTCAGGGTCTCTAAATCCTTCTTCAAAACAAACTCTGAACTCTGAAGAGAGTCAACCTTGAACTGTTCTTTTTGATGCAATCTTTCCAAAGTCTTCACCTTATCTTCCAATGTCTGTTTCTCTTCCTGAACACCCTCAGTCAAATGTAAAAGTTCTTCCTGAAGAATCATTTTCTCTTGTGCTATCTTTTCCACATTTTCCTTCTCTTCATCCAACAGAGTTTCAATATTTGATTTTTCTTCTTTTAACTGTTCCACATAAGTAATCAAAGCTGAGGTATCAGATTCAGCACCAGTTGAAGCTTGTCTCATAACTTCTCTCCCACTATCACTCTCATCAACACTTGAACTACTCCTCAATTTCTGAACTTCACCTCTCAACCTATCTTCACATTCTTCCAGTTCCATAACACGTTCCATCAATTTATCTTCTGATCGTTCCAACAACTTCACCTTATCCTTCATCTGCTTTGCCTGGGTTGTAGCACTATCATAATCATGCAGCTTTATGGACATGTCCTTGTTCTCCGTCTCCAGCTCCTGAAGTCTTTGGAATATTCCAGATACCTTCTTAACAGGTACTGGTTGATCAGCACCAACCAGATCACAGGTGGACGTTGACTGGTCTGACATGTCTCGCTGAGAGGACACATCAGTGATAGTAGACGTCTCAGAACAGAGAGTTCCTTCTCTGGAGAGTCTGGAGCTGGTCTCCAGCTTCTCCTGCAGATCCTGTTCCACCTGCTCTAGTTCCATGACCCTGTCCATCAGCTTAGTCTCCGCATCCTGCAACACTTCCATCTTCTGACTCATCCTGCCCTGGTCTTTGTGTAGCTGCTGTAGATGTTCCTGTAACTGGTCTCTCTCCTTCACTATGTCTTCAACATTCTCTACAGGCTGGACAGTATCGAGCTCTGACTGAACTGACTCCACGGATTCCGTCAACCGAGACACTTCATCTTCCAACTCCTCTTCTCTTTTCTGATGGTTCAACAGCTTTTCTTCTGACACGGTCAGTTTGTCCCTGAGATTCTTTTCATTTTCACAACTCTCATTCAGTTTCACATTAGCACTTTCACATTCACTCTTAGTTTTTTCAAGTTCTGCCAAGATATTGTGTTTCTCATTTTCCAAAGAAAGAACACTTTTCAGGAGTTCTTTCTTAGCATTTTCAAGTGTTTCCATATCCTGAGACATTACTTTGGTCTTTTTCTCAGACTGCTCATCAAATGACTTTGAAGCAGATAGTTTTTGTTTGAGATCATAACACTCAGTCTGAGCAGTTTCACATTCAGACTTTAGTTCAGATTTCTCATTTTCTAAGGTTTTCACACTGAATTTGAGATCACCCACTACACCATTTAAGAAGTCTATATCACATGTCAATCTGTCCAAAGATGACTGAATTTCTTCTTTTTCTGATGAAATATTTGAAACTTGAGTCCTGAGATCCTGGTTCTCCTTTTCCAAAGAGGAAACTTGTTCCGACAAAATCTGAATGTTCTTTTCCAATTCACTTTTCAGAGACAACACTTGGTCCATTTCCGAAGAAAGACTCCTGTTTTTCTGTTCAAAAGATTCAACATCAGAAGACAATGTCCGAACTTGGGTCTCATATTCTTTATTTGTCTCTTGAAGTTGATTCAGAGATGCTCTCAAAGATTCAAGGACTGCCTTCTGTCCATCTTCCTTCCCTGTCAACTGATTCAACTGACTTTCAAGGAAGTTTTTCTCCTGCTGAAGATTCCACACTTGGTCTTTCAGTTCGATCTTTTCGTCTTCCAGCTGATCACCTTCATTAACAAGATCATCTACTTTCTTGGACAGTTCCAACTTTTCTTTCTGTAATTCTTTTACTTCTGATGTTTTTCTCACAACGATCTCTTCATAATCTGCAAGTGTTGTCTCCAAGGACGACATTTTCTCAGCACCCGTCCGTTCACATCCCTGAGATTGTGAGAGTTTCTGTTCTAAGTATTTAACACTTCCTACCTGTTCTCGCACACTCATCTCTAATTTCTTAATTTTCTCCAGTAGCTCATGTTTTTCTTTCTCAAGCTCAGCAACAGCCACAGACTTTGTTTGTTCCAGGGTTGAGATCTGCTGGACATATCTGTCTTCACATACACGCATCTTTTTCAAAGATTCACTCAGTTCAGTTTGGGCTTTCTCCATATTTTTTATTGTTCCTAATCTAGCCTGGTCATTCTCTTGCGCTTCTGCTAACTCTCTTTCTAATACAACAGATTTAGAAGCACTCTCACTCATTTGACTCTCTAACTCACTAATTTTCTGTTTCGATTTGGAATCCCTCTTAGCATATTGACACACTTTCTCCACTAGTTCCTTCTCATGCTTTTCAAGCTCCACAATTCTAGCAGATGAATGTGAATCTTTCTGTTCAAGTTTTTTCATCTCATCTTTCATTCCAACCAATTTAGCTTTTGCTTTCTCCTCCCGCTGATGCAAAACTTCAATCTGACTCTCAAGCTCAGCAATTCTAGCTTTCAAACCTCCCTCCCTCTCCTGAATAGCACTCAAAGTCTCCTCCATCTCTTTCAGTTTCCCTGAAGCATACTCCTCTCTCTGTTCATACACATTAATCTGTCCACTCAACTCAGTCACCTTCTCCTTGGCTTCTTCTCCCTTCCTCACATACAATCTGATCTTGTTCTCCAGTTTGTCAATCTGCTTCTTGAGGAACTCTTTCTCTTTCACAAGCTCTTCGCCTCTTGTCTTTGCCTGCTCCAACTGGGCATGCACATTCTTCAGCTGTTTCTCCAGAGTCCCAACTTTGATTTTCGTCTGCTGTTCTTCCAGGTCTAGTTTTTCCTGCAGAGTCATCTCATGATCTTCCATAGACTCCAGTCTATCCAGAAGGTTCTCCTGTGAACTATGGAGCTCCATAATCTTGTCCTCATACTGAAGCATCTTCTCCACTGTAACAGCCTTGCTCTCGTACAAGGCAATCTTTGCTTTCAGTTCCCGTTCCTCTTGTTCCATTTCCACTAGAGTTTCTGTCAATTTCACCTCGTTGTCATGCAAATTGGCTATCTTTTCATGCAAATTTTCTATTTTGGAATTCTTATCCTCCACAATATTATTTATCTGCTCCTCCAATTCTTGAATCTTTTCAAACCCTTCAGATTCAGTGATGAAGTCCAAATCCCTCTGGGACAGGGACCTCTGAGGCATCGACACCTCATATCCCGCGGAATGGAGAAATGGAGTTGAGAAAGACCTTTTAGCCAGAGTCAGTTCACCATTATTCCTTTCTGACTCAGACAACTCAGTGGCTAAAGAGGAAGAATGAGGAACATTATTATGAATGTACACATTGTCTTGTGCATCCTGAAGACTATTTTTGAGCTGCTTGTTCATAGCTTCCAACATCTTTACCTTCTCTTCCAGACACTCAATCCTGTTGGCATCCTCATCCGCCACCCTCCTCCAGTTCTCCCTCAACACCTCCTCATCCTCCTCCAGTTCAGACACCTTCACACTCAACTTCTTGTTGTCCTTCTCTAACACACTGATACGGCCTTTCAGCCGCTCAGCAAACCTTACATCACCCTCAATATCAGATTTCAGCTCCAATTGATGCCGAAGACTCTTCTCTGAATTCTGGAGTTCTTGAATGATTTGGGCTGAGGCCAGTTCTGCCTTCTCCAGAAAGTCCACCTGAAATGACAAGGTGATAACACCGTTTTGACATATGAAGATAAAGCAAGGTGATATCGTTATGACTCATGAAAGTAAAGCAAGGTGATATCGTTATGACTCATGAAAGTAAAGCAAGGTGATATCACCATTATGACTAATGAAAGTAAAGCAAGGTGATATCATTATGACTCATTAAAGTAAAGCAAGGTGATATCACCGTTATGACAAATGAAGGTAAAGAAAGGTGATATCATTATGACTAATGAGGGTTAAGAAAGGTGATATCATTATGACTAATGAACATAAAGAAACGTGATATCATCATTATGACTAATGAAAGTTAAGCAAGGTGATATCACCATTATGACAAATGAAGGTAAAGCAAGGTGATATCATTATGACTAATGAACGTACAGCATATAGTGTCTGTTACAAACATTACACATGTAATAACAAAGTTAACATTGTAACAAGAAAACTGTTGCTAGGCAACTTCATGACATCAGTACGGTGGTGACGTGGGTACTGTACTGGTAATATTTAGTAATCACCAGAATATCACACTGTGTTCATGTCATAGTGTGAAATGAAAGCAAGTTTTATTTCTAAAATCAATAACCTCAGATTACAGAAATACAGAGAAGTTAACATGACAACATATGTTGAACACAAAGACGTGTCAGGAACATAGTCACAGGCATTAATGCAACCTACTTCATGACACTACTACACGGTACGTTCTGACCAGGAGCATGATGGGATACCCCAGATGAACATTATACCATTACACAGGATTTGTTTCAAACTATAACTATAGATCAACATGAAGTAATTTTCTTTTACACATGCAGATAAAAAAATCTGTTATCATGCAACTTGTCCATGTTTTTAACAAAAAAAACAACGTAAAGCAGAAATGCAAAATCTAACATCTGATTTTTTTAACAGTGATATATTTGCTCCGGAAGTTGAAAAGAAAGGCAACAGCATGCAATCCCTCAATTTCATTAAATTATTTCTAAAATTTCATTCTTAGTTGCATGCTATTTACAATTTCATCTGTGAATCATATATTTCCTCACTGGAGAGATCAATTAAATGTTGCGGACAGATGATCTTGAAAAAGTTTATTGAACCTCTTGTCAGAGATGGAATCGTGCTTGCATTCAGTTTGAAATGCTGGAAGCCTGCATCAACCTCTACAAAGAAGGGATGGATACTCACTCAGATCCCTTAATATCAATCTAACTTTGTAAAGCTAAGAACATGCTGTGAGTCCGTTACAATCCAACTTTAGACATTAACATCACTACATTTTCTGCTTCATGCATCATCGTCCCAAATTTCCCAACAAGCAAAGGGTATTCATCCCGAACTGTTAGTACAATGAATCTTAATCCATAAACCCAGCACACACATGACACACAGGACAAGACACATTCTCACAGCTCCTGCTGTGTAAAGGTCAACAAGGAAGCATGGACTGATACATTTTCATTTGGTCACGGAACATTCAGTCATTTTTATCCAAATTAATGCGACATGAAGACAAAGGGAATCTAAAGAAGCAACAAATGCAGATGAAAAAACATTTTGCAGGTTTTTGAGTGACAAAGGGAAATAACTTTACAGGTATTTGAATGATAAAGGGAAATAACTCTACAGAGATTAACCATGCTTTGATTCTTTTATCTAACCCTCAATGCAGTTTATATACACAAATTGATCTAATATATTAACTTTAAATATCAATAATATGTTACAAATAAACAATATCTCATGATAATGACATCACTGTGATTGTTAAAGCTGTTAGATCGAATTCTACAATTAGTAAAACACATGTCTGCAGAAATCTATCATTAATCAACTTCAATCCCATGATGCAACAGGACAGTGAGGTAGGTGATGAATAGGTCTAAAATCTACAGGGTCAAGGTCTCCACCAGCAGTCAACATGATCGGCATTGCAGGCAGTAACAATCCATTCCCATGATGCCCTTCAAGCGGCCATGTTTTACCTTCTCGCGTAAAGCTGTTTCAATAACATCCTTGTCCAGTACGATCTCTTTCAGTTCCTGGACTGTGTGGTAAAGTTGGCATGTCTGCCTCTTTGCCTCACTCTCACGATTGGTCAACTCCTCGACCTTCTCTCGACAGTAGTTTTCACTACTCTCAAGGTCATTGATGGTGTGCTCCGCAAGCTTCAGCTTTTCTCTTAACTGTCTTTCCGACATTTCTGCAGTGTGAAGCCGATCTTGCAAATCTTCGCAGTATTCTTCCATTTCTGCTAACCGACTATCATAAGACATGTCCAAACTCTTGTCCGACTCCTCATCAATTATTTTCTTCTCAACAAGCTTTTGTTGAAGAGACAGATTCTCCTCATACAAGATCTGCATCTTTTGATCCAAGACATCAAAATCAGCTTCTGTGTGTTTAACAAGTTCTTCATATTTGGCAGTTACACTCTTATCCAGCATCTTGGTGTATGTCTGGGAGTTCTTATCCCGTTTACTCGGACTATCGGACCCCACGGAATTGGTCCGGATCAACTTCTCATGAAATTTCTCCTTCTCACTGTCCGTCCTGTTCATGGGTTTCCCATGCTTCGTCTGCAGTTTGACGACCGTATCTTCCAACTCATCGATCCTCCTGAGCAGTTTACAGTTCTGACTTTCACATTCCTCCAACTTTGTCTGGAGTCTAATGTTCTTCTCCATAAGTTCTACCTCCGACTTTTCGTGGAATACAAGCTGATCCTGAAAAGTTGTTGTACAAACATAAAATAACATCCATCATACATACATGTTGGACATCCTCTCTCTACTCTCCCTCCATAAACAGTGGAATAAGATAGAACAAAACTAGAACAGATATTCAACAAGAGTGATGAGTTATAGTATGCAAATAATTTGAAAGCATTGAACATAATATGCAGAGCTTAGATATATACCAATATTTGTTTGTGAAAAATAATATCAATATTATTGAACTGATTTCTTTCAAAATACATCATTGAACAGTACAAAATAGTATTTCAAGTTTTTAAAAACAGAAAACAGATAATTTTCATGCAGTTAAGTGTTCACTGCAATTCAGGGTCTAAATCAAATCGTCATGCTGTCAATTTCAGTTCAATAAAACTTGACAATAATGGAGTAACTGTTAAGACATTAATCCTCTATAGGGTAAAAAGATTAGTATTTTGGGAATAAATCTACACTTTAGACTTTTTTTTCCATGCAATAGATGTTTTGTCTACATTCTACGTTGTTAGTAATATTGAGGGTTGAATATACACCAAGAATTACAATGCCATAAATTTCAAGAAACCGACATCAAAAACATAATTTCTTCACAAAGTATTCAATGACATGTCCAAACTCAGCAGTCCTTTTATTTCTGTCATGTATGGTGGATTCGCAGAACTGTTAAAAATAATGCAGTGTCTTTTTCCGTCTCAAAAATATTATTTAAAAAACATTTATATTCAGAAAATCATAAAAATTAAAGGTATGAATTAAATTTAATTATGTACTGGATATTTTAAAATAAACATTATTTTAAGCTTGTCATTTCAGTTTCACTACAACGATACAAATAATAAACGGCTTTATTAAAAGCTAATTATTCTTTTAAAGGAAATGTATCATAAACTACACAAAGGTGTAAGTACCAAAAACTGGTGGTTATAGCATTCATGCATTGTTGTTCAGTGAGTGTGAGTGAGTTGGGTTTAACGCTGCTTTTAACAGTATTCCAGTTATATCACAGCGTGTCAGCTTAATGTGGGAGCCACTGGGAGGAAAGACCGAAGTGATGCAGGTCTCAGACGTTTACCACTTCGGTGAATCCCACGAGCACGGGTATGGTGCTGACAAACCTAGAAACATAATCAGGGCGAACCGGGATTCGAACCCACAATCATAAGTTTCTGGCGTGATCAAGGGACGCAACTCTGCACAGCGAATCTCAGCGCCTTAGACGACTGGGCCGTGCACCCGTGCTCCCTTGTTGTTCAGCATATGATTACCTTAGTCAAGGCTATATTTATCACAGGATGTGAGTAGGTTAATGGTGACTACAAAGACACAGAGAGTTAGCTCAAATGTTACAAAAGGTGATTACAGAATGTTGGCACAGCACCAACGTCCTGTGTAGAATAAGAACCAAGAGAGTGACTGTAACATAAACAAAGGGAGGTAAGAAAGGTAGAAATAGGAGGGAGAGTTATCCACTAATCCATCCATCAACCACACCATTTGCCACCTTGCCAGTTCCGCGCAAGTCTCATACTGATCACACAACTCCAATACCTTGAGCGCCAGCACCTCGACAGACTCGTGTCGGTTTGGAGAGGGTGCTGTCCCCTGCTGGGTGGAGAGCAACATTTCCTCCAGAGTTGTCTTTTCTTGCTGGAGGGAAATGACCTTGGCTTGAAGTTCCTTGGCTGTACACTCCAGATTGATGATTTGCTGAAGGAAGAGTAAATGCATGTGAGCAAACGTAGTGTGTCAGGAGAGATGTACTGGGAAAATAGCTGGAGTGGAGGAGGTGAGGTAAGGTGAAATAGGGTTTAACATCGCGTCCAAGACTATTGCACTTATATAACGATGTGCATGTACATGTGTGTGTTTGTGTGGCTGCTTGTACTAGTCCGGACTGATGCCGATTTATAGTCCTAGCTCACTGAGATACCATGCCGCAGTTTAACATGAATACCCCACTCAGACACAGTATACTGACTCTGAGCCCACCAGTCCTTGTTTTAGCCCCTTAATGCCGAGCGCCAGACAGGGTAACAACAAGTTCCATCTTTTAACGTCTTTTGGTATGACGCGGTCAGGGATCGAACCCCGGACCTTCCGCTCTCCGGGCGGACGCTCTACCACTAGACCACGGAGGCGGTCTGGAGTGGAGGAAAGGTGATGGTCAGACGCACATTGAGGTGAGGTGAAATGGGGTTTAACGTCGCGTTCAAGATTATTGCACTTATATAGCAACATGCATGCACGTGTGTGTGTGTGGCTGCTTGAATAGTCCAGACTTGTGCTGATTTTATAGTGCTAGCACACTGAGATACCATGCCACAGTTTAACATGAATACCCCACTCACACACAGTATACTGACTCCAGACAGGGTAACAAGTACTATCTTGTGTCGGGTCAACACAAACATAACACACACATGCACTGGCTCTTCAGTCATTGCCAAATCGGAGGCATGAGTGAGTGAAGTTAATGCAGCTTTTTGCAATATATTCCATCATGGCTGTGGTCACCCAAAACAGTCATCACACATTGCGCTTGAGTGGAAATATCAATCCCACTAGTAATCACTACGCTATCTCACTGCTTTAAAGCACTGTAGCTAATATTCAAATACCACCAGCTATTTCGTTTGTTTTGTTTGTTTGTTGTTTTAAGCATCGATCTATGCAACTGGGATACAATGACATGCATCAACTAATTCAGTGAGCCTGACCACCCGATCCTATTAGTCGCCTCTTATGACCAGCTATTTAGTTAGAATTTAGGAGCACTATTTGTAAATAACATCTCGACCACATCAACGTGGCTGAATTCCTCACACACCAACCATACCTGTTCAGCATCCTTGAGTTTATCCAGCTTCTTCAACACTGTGTCAGCCTCCTTTCCTTTCCCCTGCAGCAACACCTTCAACTGCCCCTGCAGGGCCTCAACCTCAAGAGGGCCCCTCGACATGCTGTCAGCTGGAGTTACCTCCCTTCCTCCACACTCACACACCTGCAAAAAAAAAGACAGCTTTGAAATGATACTGTAACGGGCAAGAGATTGTTGCTTCCATATTTCCACTTGTTGATGGCTTATATGTTTATTACTGAAACAACAGATGCAAGTATTAAACAGAGAGTGTATCCAAAATGGTGACAAACGATTTGAGCAATACTTGAAGATTGTTTGATTCAAGACAATTAAACCATCATTGTATATGTTTCCTGTCTGTGTGATAAATACTAATCTCGTCGTTAATGATCCCCATGGAGACAATGTGTCAGCTTGACTCTGCATTAATTATACTATTTATGTCTAGACACCAACTGGAAATATACTGGCATGAAACTCTCGGACAATGAGGCCAGACACTAGGTCAAGGTACTTCAGAAAAAGAAAGAAAAATGAAAGAAAAAAATGTGTTATGCATGTCATGCAGTTTAAAGCTATAAGATTAACTATAGTTTAGTAGAATTGGGTGTTCTTTAACTTCTTTTGAGTCGTACCAGTTTATAAAAAGAGTATAGCCATCATTTCCGCAACATAAATTCATTGCACTCTTAACATGCTTCAGAATCATAAATATAAAAAAGTATGGAATTCATTGTCATTAAAAACCATATCACATGACAATGAGAATGTAAATACGAATACAAACACCTTTGTGTTGGTAGTTCATTTGGCTGAACTAAACTTTTATCATGAAGAATACACCAGAAACAGACCTTGGACATAAAGAAAGGCAAACACAACTGAACCTTATTAGAAATCAAGACACTCAGATAATCTGACCACAATGACAAAACTGTAACCCAATCCTGGAATCCACTTTATTGAACCTTCAGAAACTGTTTCAATGTCATGATCATAGAGAAATCTCTCCAACAGATAAGAGTCTATAATTCTACCTACATGTTATCGCAGAGGAATCTCGCCAACTCTCCCACAAATAAGGGCTTAGTTTGGATACCACTATCATCAATCAATCAAGCCATCTGAACAGTGTATGAACTCACTGTGATCACCTGGGAGGTTCTCACATATGCCAAACTGTGAACTACCTGGACTGATTGCCTCTCGATTTGTGTGTACCGTGATTATTGATCTTGTGTAGACATGATCTCGGTCATGATCAGTGAGTGAGTGAGTTGAGTTTACCTCCACGTTAAATAGGATTTCAGATGTATCCCAGCATGTCAGATTGATGACGGAGGAAAGCCTGCTACAGGTCTCGGTAGTTTATTTGCCTATTTGTCATGCTCGAACATCACTTTAATGTCTATGTATGTTATCTGTTCCAAGCGAGAAGTGGTCTTTTTTCTGTGAATCCTTTGTAAATTAGGCCGATTTCTATCCTGTTTTAGCCACCTTTGTTGAGACAGTGTCTTTTTTAATCCAACTTTATTATAAACAGTGTCTTGTTTTAGCCACCTTGGTTGAGACAGTGTCTTTTTTAATCCAACCTTATAATAAACAGTGTCTTGTTTTAGCCACCTTGGTTGAGACAGTGTCTTTTTTAATCCAACTTTATAATAAACAGTGTCTTGTTTTAGCCTTTGCACAGATGTTTCTTTAATCCAAAGAATATAGAGTGTCTTGAGTGTGTCAAATTAGGGTTCAGACACCCGTCTTGTTTTTTCCAACTTTCTTATCAAAAGTGTTTTGTTTAATCCATTTAAGACAGTATGCTGTTTAATCCAACCTCTTTTTGAAAATGTGGTGTTTTTTAATCAAAATTATGCATGGTCTTGCTGAAAAGAAAAAACTGTTTCTCCAAATGGTTGCAAATACCGAGTCATCACATGAATCAAAAGAAGCAGAGAAGTAATTGAAACGTCGTCAAACAACTATTATCATGAAGCAGTAACAAACATGTAATGAGATCACTGATTTCATGTATTGTATTTCAACATGAGTACGTCATTTGTAAACAAAAACAACATGTGTCTCATCAGTAAATTAATACATACAATTTCAGCAAATGCCGATTTAATATGGCAATATATTGTAAATGATGCCTCACTTATTTCAAGGTGTATACAACATGAAATCTCAAGTCAAGGCTCTGTGCCCCAGAACTCAACTACCTTGGCATGTCTTGAAGCTTGATTTCTGCAACGTAGCCAGCTATAACTGAAATTTCTTAAAACCTATCCAATTTATTTTGTGTACTTCAACTGCAGACTTGTCCCTGTGCACACTAGGACGATGTAAAATAAATAGACGAAAAAGAAAAATTGCAATCTAAATTAGTGAGAATGTTCTACACTTTAGCTGGGCAAACATACAGTAAGAGCCGGTGTCTATCTTTCTTTTTTCTCACTGCCATTTAATAGGATCTGTTAACTGAAATAGAACTAGCAGGTCTTTTGAAACTAGTTCACTACATGGAGTTTCATTTTCACATTCCCCTTCAAAAAGGAAAGTATTTTTCTGTTCCCATTTTAACTGAAGCAGGCGTAAGTGAGTGAGTTGGGCTTAACACTGCTTTGTACAGTATTCCAGGTACATCACAGTGTCAGGTTGATGTTGGAGGAAAGTCAGAAGGGATGCAGGTCTCAGACGTTAACCAATTCGGTGAAACCCACGAGCACGGGTATGGTGCTGACAAACCTAGATACATAATCGGGGCGAAACCGGGATTCGAACCCACAATCATAGGTTTCTGGCGTGCCCAAGGGACGCAACTTGCACAGTGAATTGCAGCGCCTGAGACGACTAGGCCACCCTCACCCCCCGTGACAGGAGTGAATGAGTCACAGAGTTTATGTTGGTGAAAGTGTGGTACAGCCAGCCATTTCCTTTAGAATGCTAAAGAGTGACTATGTACGTGTGTGATTTAGTTGATGGAAGTCGGCAACGTTTACAGCATTATGAAACATCTCCTGGTCTGCTCAATCAAACTCGTGGTTGATAGTGTGAGCAACTATCCATGTAAAAAGCAACATCCCCATACAGTCAGCCAGTGCAAGAATATTTCCTGAGAGGCACAATTCAACTGCTTTTCATACCCAGCAGTCCCTGAACTGGCATAGGAAAAGCATGTGACCCAACAAGCTATCGTCCGCACTATGAACATTTCAGTCTTATTACAGGATTAATCAGTGGTGAAAGTCGACAGTGACACAGGTCGAAGATATTTACTTATTTGGTTAACACTGTGAAGTGGAGTTTGGTGCTGACAAACCAAGAATCATACTCATGGCAAATCTTGGATTCGAACTCATCAACAAAGGAGATGCTGCATCTCTGTAGTGACTTATACCACGGGTGACGCGAGTCTCCATTTGGAATCATTTATCAGAAATATACAAAAATTATAAAATGGAAGGCACAATCTGCCAATGCAAACAATAAAATCTTTTTCATAGCCTCTGAAACCTGCTCAACACGATTCAAGGCATTGTTCTTGACCACAGAATCCCTGACATTCTGGCTGCTCTGACCAACCTGATCACAACTCTCAACCCTGTCCACACCCGCGCACGATCACAGGTGCATATGTCGGTGAGTTTCTCACATCCATGAGACCTGAAGCCATTGGTTCTGATGGACCACTAGAACACCAGATGACCTCATTCCTGGGCGGACCTCACACGCCTCCGTCACACCGCCTGTGTCCACTGTGACCTCAGTATTATATCCCTTGACCTTCAAATGTCGCACACATGTCCGACTATTTTACACACTTCCTGGGTTCCAGATGAACATCACACAGCCTCCCTTTCACAATCCATTTCCTCCTGTCACCAAGCCCAATTTTGAATTAACTTCCTAAATTGTCCTTTTCACATGTTCGAACAACTGATGTGTTGACTAGTGTTAAAATCCCATCCAACTTCAAGAGCCAAGATCCCAAAGAGGAAGGATCACAGGAGTACAGTCAGATCATTAATGGCGGTTTCTTTATCTCCCATAAACTGATTAAATACTAAAATAATTACTGTGACGGTATGTGCTATACTGAAACACATGGATCACACTTGCTTGTACTGAGGCACATCATCACTGTGACATTCAGGATAATCATAGCCTTAGAAACACATGAAATACACAAACTTGTATGGAGAGGCACAATATCACTTAGACATTCAGGATAATTATAGCCTTAGAAACACATGAAATACACAAACTTGTATGGAGAGGCACAATATCACTTAGACATTCAGGATAATTATAGCCTTAGAAACACACGAAATACACAAACTTGTATGGAGAGGCACAATATCACTTAGACATTCAGGATAATTATAGCCTTAGAAACACACGAAATACACAAACTTGTATGGAGAGGCACAATATCACTTAGACATTCAGTATAATCATAGCCTTAGAAACACACGAAATACACAAACTTGTATGGAGAGACACAATATCACTGTGACATTCAGGATAATTATAGCCTTAGAAACACATGAAATACACAAACTTGTATGGAGAGGCACAATATCACTTAGACATTCAGGATAATTATAGCCTTAGAAACACACGAAATACACAAACTTGTATGGAGAGGCACAATATCACTGTGACATTCAGGATAATTATAGCCTTAGAAACACATGAAATACACAAACTTGTATGGAGAGGCACAATATCACTTAGACATTCAGGATAATTATAGCCTTAGAAACACACGAAATACACAAACTTGTATGGAGAGGCACAATATCACTGTGACATTCAGGATAATTATAGCCTTAGAAACACACGAAATACACAAACTTGTATGGAGAGACACAACATCATTGTGACATTCAGGATAATTCAGGATAAACATTAGAAACACAAAGGCTACATTAGCTTTGCAAGTTTACCGTCAGAAACATCTATCAACCCTGAATCGAACATTAAGTAACCCTATTTAATCTTGTCATAGAAACACAAAAGATACATTAGCTATTTGGGTGAACACTCAGAAACATCTATCAACCCTGTTTGTAACATTAAGTAAACCTACTTAAATCTTGTCATAGGAACACAAAAGATACATTAGCTATTTTGACGAACAC